TTATAAATAATATAAATTAAAAAATATTATAACTTTTTATAATTTATAACGCTTTTTAATGTTATAACTTTTATAAATAATAAAATATAATATTAATAATTAAAGCTTACTGTGCATTTATATAATATATATCGCAATATATAAAATGAATTGGCGGGTTAGCGGATTCGGTATTATCGTCCGCCGTCGTTTTGTTGGATGAGTTACGGGGCGAAAAATCCATGCAATTAGTCTGTCAGTCCAGTCCATGTTGAACGAAATGCGGTGAAGCTCTTTTTTTTTTAGTTGAGAAAGAGAAATTGGAGAGGAGGGGTTGTTCTAGGCGGTCCAGGATAAAAAAGGTTTAATGGGTCTCTGCTTAAAGCGTGGGGGACATCTGAACGGGGAAGTTGCAATACCTGGAGTTCCTGGAGAATCGCCTCCTATTCTGGGCTAGCCCGAAGAAGTCTTAGGCAAGTAAGCCCCTGTACTACGCTCACTACGTTGTAGCGTCACCCACCCCCACGACCGTTAGTTCCATTGAACTTTCCATTCCTAAGCTGCGAGGTTGAACTCAAAACATCCATGATGCAAACGTCTTAGCGCACTAGTTCCATTTTTATTCCGATCATTGATCATTTCAATGTCCGAACTAGAACTAGAGCACCTTTCCATCGACTCATACCTCTTCCATTTAGCATTACATATTAAACGGGGCAGACGACGGGGCTATCATGCTAGTCAATCCAGCCCTCCTTGCCAAGCCAACTCCCCGATGCTCTACGGGACATGCCCCAGTGTCCTGGTCGATAGCTTCACCACGGACCCATTTACGTGGGAGGCAAAAGGAGGGGGTACCTAACACCTCGTGCCCTGATCCCACATATCCAACCTACATACGCTCCATACGCGAGCACCTACTCACTGAGCAACGTACATATCAACGACAAACACGACCGCCACAAATCTCACCATCCACCGAGCAACGCACACGTCCAAACTGCATCGTGCAGTAGGTCCACGCAAGCTACTCAGGCAGCCCAAAGCATAGTCTGCGTGCGTGATCACCGCTCATGAACACCATTCCCAGGATTCTTAGGATTCCGGGGTAGGTAACGTGTATGTCGACTCCGGAGCTTAGCCCAGCCAAGCAATCTGCCGGTCAACACTAGTACCCGTACCCCCAACTCAACACCAATTCCATAGGCATGTAATTAATAGCTGACTAGGTACGTGACGCTTACATTTCGGTCAGGGCCTGACGTTGTTCTCGGTATTCCATTGCCCCGGTCATGTTTGAGTACCTAGGCCGAGCAACCCGACCTACAGACTCAAGCGAAGCTGACTGCGAACTTCGTCACACCGGCCTCCCGCGGAGTTATCATTCCACAACGCTGCGATGAAACCCGACGGCCTGGCTCAAAATATCCTTGTTTGGGGGTAACAACGCGTGCTACACGTTCTTGGCGATCTATTCGTCAATATCTATTCATGGACCCGTGGATGCCTCACTCCAACAACCGGGTCCCATCTCGCCCGTCCTTAAATCGGCATCGATTACCTCAATTCCAGTACTACTACAACACCCCGCAGAAAAAGAACTTTTTCTCGTATCGTATCGTAAGACATAATCGACCAGGAACAAATCCCAAAGAGACAATTCTCACGTGAGAACTCTTAGGGTGTCTTAGGGTGGGGGTAGGAACCAATATCGGTACGATCGACGCAGGGGGGTAGACTGATTTATTCCCGGGATCCTGTCCCTCGGGAGAATACGGTCATTGGTTCTTTCGGTTCTTCTCGTGACATTTCGAATCTTGGATCAAAACTTCGCTGCCGGGCGATTGGGACCGCCCTGAAGCTGATCTCAGTATCCCTAGTGAGTTCATCGCGATTGGCTAATAACTGTCATAGTATAACATCGACATAACAGACCGTTTTAGATGTCGTAGATTGATTATACATCACGAGATAACCCAATTTCAACCCAATTTTCAAGCTCTAGCGCATGCGTGGTAAGAGGTCTTAGCGTAATCCGGAAACCCCGGAAAGACTTCCAACGCGTGAGTGAGAGCTTTAGCATCAGACACTCTTAGCATACACGAACTAACAGTTTGAAGAACGCATAACGCAGTCAAGTGAGTGAGTGGAGTAAGAAATCTGGGAAGCCAGTTTGACATATAAGCTGTCACTGAGGCATTGCTATTGACGCTATTGGTATATTGTCTATTCAGAACACGACAAGGCTAATGCGCCGTTTTATCATCGGAATACATACGATGTAATTATGTAGTTGACAAGGAAAACGAAAGCGGAACATCAGAAGGATGGGTACACACCAAAGTACCGATTTACGTGTCAGAGGGTGAACAATCCGGGCGAAAATCCCTACAGGGGTTGTGGTAACGAATGTCGGTCAGAGGTATGTTTGTGATACCTTTGCAGTGGCATCGGCTCCAATCGCATGAGTCTTGTTGATCATCACAGAGCTCTATGAAATCCCTCATGCGTACCACAAGACGATGATGATAACTCGAATAGATAAGGCGCCATATTCGACCCGGAATTACGACATTTAATCTCTCGTCGAAGAGAACTGCATAAGGCTCTGTCACACCAGAGATACGAAGCTCAGGGGCATCAGTCGTCAGCCTAATCCTATTGATATTTGCCTTTCTTGGCTAGACTCGGGATCTACTTCTATTTTGCATTACTTATGCTCCCCGCATATCACTGACACGTACCAGGAACTATTTGGTATTATCCTCTAGAGTGAGTGAGCGAGCGAGCCTCATATTTACTGGATAGATTTGAAGCCAATCGGAACTCAGGTCAGGTTTCGTGGCGTAGTTCCAGGTTAACCAACAAGTATCCTTATGCGATAACTACTATGTGAGGTGGAGTACCTACAGAAGTATCATGGGAGTTCTCATTTGACTCTTCCGCTTGGCTTTGGGTTATAAGGGTTTACATCCCCTTATCTTTCATCCAAATCAAAACATCCTTTCCGAATAAGTTTTACACAATAGCTCAACGGACAGGATTTTAGTATTCCAGCATCAGTCAATATTCTCCGTTCGTCTCTCCTCCACCTCCAGTACCTTGAATTTACTCTGAACTTCGTCGTCAATGTAGGAGTTTTAATGTGCTTACATCGTTACTGGCAACATTACCTATTATCTACCATCATACATTAATAAGGACTTTGTATAGCCTAACGCGTTTGGACTCGCTTATTCCCGTTCCCTGTCACATATCCCCATGTTTTAATTGTCAAGAAAGGCGTCACAGGCAGGTTCATAAGCGCTGCCAGCTAATTGGCGTTCCATCTTATCATAACGTTTGAGCATAGAGGTCTCATGTTTGTAATGTTTATTGAAGTAAAAAATAGTAACTAACCTGTATATACTATTAGTTTCTTGAACAACCAAAATGTTTGTGTTTTTTCATGTCATATTTGGGAAGGTATTGCAAATAGTTTACCACTTTACTTTCCCAACTAGCTAAGGTCTGGTTAGACGTGAGATTAGAGAGTGCAATTCGATTGGTATGATGGATAGGGATACGAGAGCCACCCTTTCTACCTTTACTCTTTCCTGAGAACACCTTGGTCTACGTTACGTTCAAGTTAGAATTATCAAAGAACTTTGGTTCTGAGTAGGAACTATATGCATTATGTTGGCAAGTAAAAGCAATCTTCGATTCAGTCATAGTACAGGGCGAAGTAGAAGGGGGCAGAGCTACCCAGATAGCCAACCAGATGGCTTAATACACAACCTTATATTAGTACTTATAGCTACCCACATCTCTAATACTTATAAGGTATGCTGTTGTTGTATTTATATAATTAGGTAGGCTTATGATACTCTAGACCTAGAAGGTCTGTACATTTTCTCCCGACCTTCCTAGATGATATGCCAAATATTGTGTAGGTAGAATGTAATCTCTTGTCATACGGCTTAGACACCTGAGTTTTCTTCTGGTTGGCGTAGCTTGAATTCCATTTTGAGTGCCCAAAGAATCATTATACCCTTACCTATGTTGGTAGATACCTAGATAAATCCGATAGCGAGATTCAATTAGCCGTTCCTTCCCGTCAAAGGTAATGTATTAAAGTTTTCTCCTAGTAAAAACTTGAAGGCAAGAGCCTTGTCCTGAAATGACGTTAATAGTATAGCGATGTCCACACACCTCTATAAAACTTCAATATGGGTGATACAAGAAAGATAGAATTAACATCAGAGTCAAATCAATTCATCAGAGCGAAGGTATAGTGATAGGATTATGTTGATTTTGTTGTCATGAAGAATATTGAACAATATTATCCATCTATTCTCCCTACCTACTAAGCCTGTGGCTCTTTTTACGATGTTTTCACGATTCACGGTAACTCCGCCGATCATATTGTTTCCTCATAATTGTGCCTTCTTGACTAATTGGAGACGACGATTGAAGCGATTCAGAAGATTGGGGCAACTATAGCGGGTGCGTACGGATCTCACTCATGCTCGTTGAACGATCACCGAATCTTCATTACCTTCCGTTTATTTCTTCACCTAATCTCATTTTTCTCCTTGCAATTTCATTTCCCAGTTACTATCACTTCTGTATTCTATATCTCTACTACCTGTTTCCCACTGCGTATCACATAACAAACCCAACCTTTCACATTGCGACACTTGAATCTCATCAAATCCATCCTTGACATTCACAGATTCCCTTTCATTACTATCTTCCATTCTAACTGCCACGTACAATTCTCTACTATTGACATCACGTAAAAATACTGACTTCTTGCGTGTTTTTGTCAACCTTCATCCTTTCAATCTTCCACCCTTTCAACCTTCGATCTATCACACACCATCATCACGCTTAATCCCGTTCGTTAGATCATCCTTCAATATTTACGCCTTCTTGCCTGTTTACTACGTACAAATATCTCAGATTGAAATACGGCTAGTTCAACCTCTCTCTTCCCCCAACGACAAGTTTCTACCATCACACCCACCAGGATGGCAACGATGCCATCCGAGCCTGGCAGTGGCCAGGAATCAACCACTTATGAGTATACATGCTTATTGTCACCGTGTACTCGAGACGTCTGCGTTATCCATGGGCGACCCTCTTCGGCCGAACTATCAGCTCGAATTCCCCACGAGGTTGGCGGCTATTACCCAGAGAACCCACAAAAATCTTGTGAGCTCGACAACTGTGGAATTCATGTTAACCCTAAGAGAGTCTTCTCGATTCATCCTGAAGGTATCAACCGTATTCGCCAGGACGAACAAGTCGCCCGTCTTCCTATCAGCGATACGCTAGGTATGAAGAAAGACGTGGTTGCTGAGAAAGGCGGCTTAATTGGCCGAAGCACATCACCATCATCCTCTGCAACGATGTTTTCCGAGCAGCTAGAGTGGACTGAGATCGACGGTGAGAAATTCGTTAAACCCGCTAAGTGGTATATCCTATCGGTTGTGGAAAAGAGTGATGATTTGGGTATCCCGCCCAACCTTGATTTCGTCAGTAAGATATTCTCAAGCGAAGAAGAGCGAGCGCAGGCTTTTGAAGCCCACCGCCGAGACACCGTAACGCGCTACGACGAGACGCCTCCTCTCATGCTCACCTACGGCATACAGTATGCTCCTGAGCCCGGGCATTACTCTGTCGCTTCGTCCCGAAAGGTCTTTATTACCGGAATAGACCCAACTATGCCTATGTGGGACATCATGGCCGGAGTTCGAGGCGGCAAGATCCTCAAAGTCACCGCAGCGATTAGCCCGATGCCTATTGACTACACTGTCATCATTGAATTCGTCGATGCCCACGACGCTAAGGCTTACGTGAACTACGTGGCGGACAAGACAGCTGATGTGTTTCACCGCGGCGTTGAGGTCACCCTCTTCAAGTCCCACAGCTACCCGATTTCAATGGGAACGGAAAATGACCTGCGACAGAAGTTTACCAGACAGATTGTGTATCTCGACTTCTCTGGTTATTCCCCTAAGGACTTCTTGCACGACTTCGAGGCGAGATTCCGAAAGCCAGAAGATGTTCTAGAGGATCTCTGGTTGGACGATCACGGACGACTCTGGATACTCTTCCAGAGTATTGAGTATGCCAGTCGCTTCTACAAGCAGACCATCAGAGAGCTGGAGCGAGAACGTCCAGGTGCGTTTGACGACGATATGTATCGGTTTGCTCCAGACCCTTGCGACATGCCGCTTGATGACATGCAGGAACCCGTTCAATTGGCACGCGGATCGCATCGAAGTTTGTTAGAAGCGTGGATTGAAGGAAAATTGGACTCCGAAGAGGAGCACGTTGAGGTCGGCCGGGCTGCTCCGCCTAAAGAAGAAGCTCTTTCCACTGTCATCCCCCACAGACCCCATGCTCCTTCCGGCTCTGGTGCTTTACCAACTATTCCTCTCATTCCTTCTACCCCGGAGCCACCCAAAGAGATTCGCGGACTGGGAACCGGAATGTGGAGCCGGCCGTGGTTTCTCGACGCGGTGCGTAAACTAGACGGACCCGAATACGAGACGTTTCCTAAGGGGAATGAGTTTCGACGACACAGAGCGCAGTCCCAGTTCATGTATCGACGCCATCGACGAGACCCGAGCGTATCTCGCTCGACCTCTCCAAACAAGCCGGGAAACGGCCAAGGCTTCAGTCTTGAAAAGTTCGCTGAAGAGCAGATGCGTATTAGATACGGACAGGACAGCGATCCCACTACGCCCACGAATTCTCTCTTGACTAGCGACGTCGACTACGTCAAGCAATCGATACTTGCAATTGAGAAGGCGGACCTGGAAAAGACGGGAGCTGAGATTATTCTTCACCAAACCGGAGTCACTGCCACTCAAAGCCCCCGAGAAGCATCCGGTCCTAAGGTTGGCGAGTCTAACAACCGAGTCGGTTTTGCTCCCGTAGAATCATCGCTGTTTAGCTACTGTGACGAAGTCCCTCGCGTGGCAAAAGACGTTCCCATGGTGGCCAAGTCCAAACTTCCACAGAACGATCCCGCCTTCACCGAACTCTTGAACCGCGAGCCCGGCGATTTCGTCTCGAGAGCCGAGGCAGAGGCCACCTTGTGGATGAAGAAATTCCGCTCGTATTCAAAGGATGAGATGCTTGCTCTGTATGGCGACCCGTTCGCCTCTGAAGAAGCTCTGCGAGCGTGGAACGGCGGTGAGGAATACGACTTGGAAGCTGCGCCAAAGGCTGAGCACACTGAGCGCGAGGAAAAGGAGCAGGAGGACAAGGAGTGTGAGATGCAGTAATCGCACTAACTGGCGAGTTATACGCGTTCTCTGAATTCGTCTCGAATATTATATCTCTGGTTTCGGCTACTCGGTACAACGGTTTATCATCCATTATTTTCCTCGATTCCCGTGGAGCATACACCCCTGTATTGGGGCACGGGTGCCATCAGAATCTGAGTTTTATCATCCCTTATTACGTCAACTCCGACCTATTTTTCCGGCGATGAAGCCATACCCGCTTTATCATTACCACAACACATTCCATCGTATATCTTATCACTCGACGACTCTCCGAACGTATGTCGTACGAAATACCCTCATCATCTACACCGAGAAGAGTTTTCCTCGTGTACATCTCGACATCGGAGAAATACTCGTCGGGCACAATCCCCGTCGTCAAGGCTGAAGCTCTACTCCTGAATATCCCTATTTACGACAAGTATGCGCGCATGGAGCATCTTCGCCTTGATTCTTTCTCCTCAATATCCTTTAGCAGACCTTATCTCGTACGGATCGAGTCGAGTAGGCCTTCACATATCCGATCTAATCAAACAACAACACCCAAGATCGCGACCTGATTTCTTTTCATCAAGTTTCACTTTTTCCCCAACCCTCTCTACGACCCGAGAATCAGAGGGATATTCAACCATGGCATAATCGAAAAGAAATCTTGCATTTTCCGTGGAGTTGCGCGGGTGGAACGAAGGGGGCGTCAGGATTTTTTTTTTTTTTTCACACGGGCGGCGGTTTTCGGTTATGGTTGGCTGGGTTTGACTATTTTGCTGTTGCTTGTTCCATACGAAAGGACATATGAAGACGTCTCGCTATGCGGGACAAGGGACCTTGATCAATTGACATTTGCCGTTGATCATGATCTTGACTCGTCTTCTACGCACGCAATGTGATCGAGTAGAATTAGTAGGATTCGTAATTCCCATAAAAAGAGAGAAAACGTAAGCAAGGTAAGTTCCGTAACAAAATTTATTGCTATCGAGGATGCGACGCGTCTACTAACCTAGCATCTTCGTAACTTCAACTCTTGCAAATAAGATAGTAAGCAGGTAGGGTATTATTCATGCCAGGGCTCACTCGTCTAGACGCCCCTTTACTGGAGGCAAACAAGTCTCATCCACATCCATTCTTCTCACGTCCTTAGCATCCCAAGTTCCAATTCTTAGCCACAACTATCGCAATACAACGGAACGGACTTTTAAGGCCATACCAAGAAAGTCAAGAATTAGCCCAGGATATTCATTACTAGCTCCCGCTCCCCTTCTCACTACTCCCGCGCTGGATAGCCGCGGCGAGGTCTCTCATAAAAGCCGCGCCTAGCTCTTCCAGCTTCTCTTTAGGTTTAGACTCCCGTCTCTTCAAGCTCGACTCCTGCTCCGTAGTGACGACCAGGATCTCGTCCTCCCCTTCGTCGTCCTCGTGGTAATTGTATCGTACCCCTTCCCTCCTCTTACTTCTACCACCGCTGCCATTAACGGTACCATTCGCCTCTCCACCACTCTCCGCGCTATTCCGCAGCTCATCAAGATCATCCGCGTCGCCCGCGAACGCCTCCGCGACGCTCGAGTACTTCCTTTTGAGCGTCAATGGGTTCGGGCGGAGGTTTTTGCTCGGGGAGTCGAACCCGTCGGTCGACGAGCCGACAGTCCTACGACGACCCGCCGCCGTCTTAGCCTTGCTCTTAAGGTACGCCCTCACCAGGTCCGGCGCAATGTTGTCCTCGGGCTCCCAGGTGGGGTTCTGGTCCGGAGGCCACTCGCCCGCCCAGCGCACCTTGAAGAAACGGGTGCGTCGCCCGTGAGCGTGGACCAGCTTGTCGCCTTCGAGACGTGAGACCACCCATACTTGGCCGTCGCCTACCGCGGGCTTGGGCTTGGGTTTAGGTGTGCGCTTTTTTGAGCGTGAGCTGTTAGTCTGGCCGTTGAGAGGCGACTCTGTGGGTAGCTCGCCAGAGGATTGGGGTGTTGCGGAGGGCCAGCGGCCGGAGCTTCGGCCAGCGGGGGTGAAGCCATGGTGTGGAGGGCTAGTTTTGTGCGATTGGGGAGGTGGAGGTGGAGGCGGAGCCGATGAGGAAGGCTCGCATTTTTCGTTTGTGAAGCGCGGATATTGAGGAACGGGGACAGGAGTTGTAGATTGCTTATTATCGGGTTTTGGCTTGACTGTTGATGGTTCTGGCTTTGGTTGCGACTGGAATTGCTGTGGATATTGGAGTGGAATCTTCTTGTCCGACTTCAGTGGTGTAGGGACTGGGACAGGAGTTGTGGATTGCTTTCTGCCAACCGGAATGGGGATTCTGCGCGGTTGGTTATTTACTGGTTGGGTTGGTTTGCGTGGCTTAGGTATGGGTGGTGGGAGAGGTGTTATTGCTGGGAGCTCCCAAGGTCGCTTGTTGGATCGAAGTACCTCGGGTACGGGGACGTGACTCGTAGATGACTTCAGTGCAAGATTGGCGTTAGCGCTCTTGAACAATGTCGACGAGTCCTTATTAAGCCATAAATTTCTAGCATACGAGCTGATTTCGAGACCCGAGGACGTGGTCTCGGGAACCCTATCCAATAACATCGACCCTCCATCCTTACCACTCTCGTCCACCTCCACCTCCATATCTTCGGCGGCGTCGTCATTTTCGCCGCATAATTGGCGATGTATCGCGTCGTCCGGATCCGCCTCATCGATTTCTTCCATATCGGTCACGATTTCTCTAGCACGCTTCTTTTGCGGCGTAGACAGCGACGGGCCCGATGTACTCGTAGGGGGTAGCGTTACTTCGATACTCTCGGAATTGTTGACGCTCGCCTGCTTCGAGAGTTTGCGCGCCTGAAGCTCCGCCTTGCTCGGTCGGCCTCGTCTTCTCTGACCAGGGGCAGTTGGCGTACCGGGTGTCGTCGGCGTATCCGTCGCGCTTGTAGGCTTTAACGCCTTCTTCTTTTTCGCCATTTCTAACTTCTGTTTTTTCGATGCCTCTTGTCTCTCAATTTCCTCGTCTCTTTCCAGCAAGGCCTTGTACTCGAATTCCTCTAACACACCGGGCGAAACGTAGTCGAGTATCTTGGTCGCAAGGATAGCTACACGCGCAGCCGGTACATCCCACCATCCAACCACGTAGTACATCTGTAGTTGCAATTCACCATTGCGAGCTGTGCCGGGTAGCACGCGCTTGTCGATTAGAAACGCGGTCGAGTCGGATTCGGGCTGGATTCTTAGCGGCGCTAAAGGGGGACCGTCGCCGGGTCTATATGGACGAGGTTTCGAGGGTAGAGGTATTTGAATTCGTGATCTTCGCGTTTGTTCTCCATCCATGGATGCGATTTAAACGTGTTCCGCTCGGGAACGATTCTAATGGGGGAAGATTTGTCACCTGTGGCGTCGGTGCTGAATCGCGCGCGTTGTCCAGGGTAGCTTAAACCACAGATGGCTATGCGCGGCCAGCGCAAATAGAGACACTAGCATATGCACACGCTTTCCATTGGATTATTATGATGTCGCAAATAATTCTTGTAATTGGCTCTTCGTTCGACTGGCTGGACCAAAGACCCAATTGTCTTTTTTGTTTGCGTTGAAGAGCTCGTACTTAATTACATTGTTGTTGTTCACGGTAGAAAGGACACTAACAGTGGCACCCAACTTGACGAATTCGGCAGACTTAACCGCTTAGGTTCAAACCTTACCACGCTGGAACACGCAACCTTAAACCCCGGAGCTCTCATTAAACGTTCGACTTTCGAAACGCAGCTATTCCGATCTAAATTTAAACTTTCAAAATGTTCAACGCTGTACACTCAAATTTAAGCGATAAAACGATATTATTAGTCATAAATGTTTTCGGAGATAAATATGTCAAATACCTAATTAAAACAGCATGTTTTCGATCAAGTAACTTGGAACTTACTCGGGTACCTAAGCAGATAATTACACCGCCTTCCTTTTCTGTCAAGGCTTGGCCGATCAACATTCTGCCCCTTCTTGTGTCATTTTTGTGACTCAGTGCCCCTCCCCCTCTATTTTCGTCGATACGCCTAGTCCTGTCAAAACTTCCTATCTTCTCAAACTTTCCCTTAGCACGCCCGCGATCCACCTTCCGATAAAAAAACAATTACGAGCACGATTATAACACGATCGCGACCATGAGCGAGCCGAATACGAAGCCGTCGCTGCTCCCCCAGCCGGGAAAGCAGAATATCTTAATTACGAGCGCCTTGCCGTATGCGAACAACGTCCCACATCTTGGCAACATCATCGGCAGTGTTTTGGTAAGTGGAAGCAAGATGCGATTCGAGACTCGATGAATGCGCTAGCTGATACACCAATTTTCATAGTCTGCAGATGTGTTTGCTCGTTTCTCTAGAGCACGCGGCTTCCCAACATTGTACATTTGCGGCACAGACGAATATGGCACGGCTACGGAGACCCAAGCCCTTGCTGAAGGTGTAGATCCTGCCACCCTCTGCACCAAGTACAACGCCATTCATCGCGATATCTACGCTTGGTTTAAGATCGATTTCGACATCTTTGGCCGCACCCCAACTCCCCAGCACACAGAAATTGTCCAGCAGATGTTCACTCGACTGTGGGAGAATGGCTTTATCGAAGAACGAGAGACCGAGCAGGCCTACTGCCCGGCGCATAACTCTTTCTTGGCCGATCGCTTCGTGGAGGGTGAATGCAGTCTGTGTCATGCAGCTGGGGCCCGTGGAGACCAGGTAGATGATCCTTCTCCTACTTTTGTTTTCGTAGCTAATGCGATTGATAGTGCGACGCATGTGGAAATCTCCTTGACCCCTTAGAACCGACTGAAGATACCAAAGCAGAATCCGGGGAGGACAGAAAGGCCACCGGCTGGCTAGTGAATCCTCACTGCAAACTCGACGGCGCAACCCCAGAACGACGGACAACGAAGCATCTCTATCTTAAATTAGACGCACTGCAACCCGAAGTCAAATCTTGGCTCGACAATGCTGGCGATATCAAGGACTGGAGCTCCAATGCCGTGGCTATCACACAATCGTGGCTCAACGATGGGTTAAAGCCGCGGAGTATCACAAGAGACCTTAAATGGGGTGTGCCAGTCCCCACAAGCCTCCCCGGGCTATCAGGAGGCGACTACGATGGGAAGGTCTTTTATGTTTGGTTCGATGCATGCAGTATGCCATACCCCGCAGACTTCTATCATATATGGGCACGTGCTAACCTGAATAGTTGGCTATCCCTCGATAACTAAATGCTATACCGACAGAGACGACACGACGGGCAAGAACTGGGAGCAATGGTGGAAGAACCCAGATAATGTTTCCTTATACCAATTCATGGGCAAGGACAATGTCCCGTAAGTAATTGCAAGCCGAATATGTGAAATGGCGATTAACCCTTCAAATAGATTCCACAGCATCATTTTCCCAGCCTCTCAGCTTGGTACTAGGGAAAAGTGGACCCAGGTTCACAAATTGTCCACCACGGAGTATCTTAACTACGAAGGTGGCAAATTCAGCAAATCAAAGAGCGTTGGCGTATTCGGAAACAGCGCTAAGGATACCGGTGTGCCTGTCGACGTGTGGAGATACTACTTGCTCTCAAGACGTCCAGAGACCAGCGATTCCGAGTTTAGTTGGCGAGAGTTCGTTGACGCCAACAACAACGATCTCCTTAAGAATCTTGGCAACTTCTGCAACCGTGTTGTCAAGTTTGCTCATGCCAAATTGAATGCCGTGGTGCCCGATTATACCAAGTACCAGGACTCGGACGGTGGAATAAAGCAATTCACGGAGGAAGTCAATGGATTGCTCCAAACTTACATCTCGAACCTCAATGCCACCAAGCTACGAGCGGGTCTCTCTACAGTCCTCAGGTACGTCTTTCAAAACGCTCGTATATGTATTATACAAAAGACTAACATGATGTCTCTTTCGTAGTATCTCGGCTGTAGGCAACAAGCTATTGCAAGACAATAAGCTCAGCAACCAGTTGCTCACTGAAGACCCGGAACGATGTAATGCCGTCGTCGGCGTTGCGCTCAACCATCTTCACCTCCTCGCAAATATCCTATTCCCATACCTACCAGAGACAGCCGATGCGATCTTAGGCCAACTCGGCGTTCTAGGCTCTGGTAACGGCCGGTTCTCCATTCCGGATACCTGGTCACCCAACACGATCCCACCTGGACAAGCCCTCGGAGAACCTAAACTGCTGTTCTCCCTTATCCCCTCCGAAAAGGCCGATGAGTGGCGTGAAGCTTTTGGTGGAGAGGAGCTGCGAAAGCAGAAGGCCATTGAGATGGAGAAGGCTGCGGCTAAGAAAGCCGCGAAGGAGAAGGAGAAGGAACGGAAGAGACTTAAGAAATTAGGCCTTGCGGCTAGCGGCGACTCAACAAAGGCGCCCACAGAACAACTACAAAATCTGAACATCACAGACAGTGCGGGAAGTAAACCACCCCAGGAACCAGCAAAATAAGGGATAAGTCAAGTTTCCCGCCAATTTACAAATTCATGGATATGATGTCGTTAGTAGGGCGCTGGTATAGAGGTTTCTGCAGAGACACCTTCGTTTGATTTGGGGTGCAGTCAGCGTCTAGAGGATGCGGATGATCTAGACAGCATCGGATGGGATTAGGATTTAGAAAATAAAACGACGGATATCTTTCTATTTTCTGATTCCACATCGTGTTCTTGACTTGACATTACCGTTTCTCTCACAGCATGACAATTCGATCTAGTGCTATTGGATATCCGTGGTTCATACAATTATACTAACCTCATGACAAAGGACAATGTCATTATCATCGCGTTTGAATTATCAATTGCCTATATGCTATAGCAACAATTCACCGGATCATTGATCCCATCATGCCAGAAGGCCCTGTGGACGCTCGCTTGGCAGCAGCGCTAGTATACTCCACCGACAATAGCCAATCAAGCTTTAGCTTGGACCTGACACATACCCTTTCCAGTATGTGACACCATGGTCTAGCCAATCAGACTCAAGTAGGCTACAGGCCATACTGCCGCTAGTTCGCAGTCAAGGGGCTAGCCCAATCATATAGACTAAATCACCGGGTAATTCAATGTTTATCTAATAATTCGCAAGTTATTGACTAAAGACCATTGACATAGGTCGCTAGCGAGGAAGTGTATACATACTAATTAAAGACCAAGGTCAAATTTTACAAGACGAATGTGAACACGGGAAGCTCTGTATCGCACCACCCGAAACCAACCGCAACAACTCCTCCTTGCTTCTCCTCCCCCGGCAGCGGAAAAGCACTTTTGCAAGCCTTCTCGCCCTCCAAATCACGCGAGACATCCGCGCACGCGCAACGGTCCTCGCCGATCGAGCACAAGTTATTCGCATACACGAACTCGAACCTCGGGTTGTCGACGTCGAAGTCGACGGACTTGATGGTCGGCACGTACGGCAGGAAGTCCTTGGTGGCGTACGGGCTGCCGCAGTCGTTGCCCTGAAACAGCGGCGCGTTACACGCCCTTCGCCGCATGTTGGGATAGACGCAGGTTATGAGTGTCATACTTGTTGTATTTAAAGGCTGGAAGTTACCAGAAGTAGGTAGAGGTCCGTAGGCAGTACTTATATACCCCTGAGATACTGGGCGTAGGCTTCCAGCAACCTGATATTCCAACAATGTTTTATTGTAAACTTGCGTTTCAATTCCGTTGCAAGCTATTTCGTGGAGATGTTTTCTTGATGAGACATCACTCACTTAATGTGGTGCTAGGAACGCAGCATCGCCGCCGGCATTTCATGATAATTACATTTTCCCCTAATCCTTCACGAGGCGGACATCTGGATTATCAGACGAAACACGCATAACTGGTCTATTCATCTGTGTCCCATCAGCAGGGGAGCTGAGCTATGCAAGTTACTAGATCTGGGAAGGATGTTACGCGAAATGATCCTTCGCGATCACCGGGCGATTTACCATTAAGCCTTAGAACTTCTTGTTATCCCACAAGATCATACACCGGCGTTTACCTTCGCGTATATATATTGAATGAAAGAAGGGTTACAGAGGTGTAAGTAGTCCATCTCAAAGCTCAGCTTGAGTTATGTATATCCCCCATTCCTGGACACCTATACAGGAACGTAGGCCCGGCAGATGGGAGAGGTTATTGAGAAATTCTATCCGATTGTGAACCCCCCTCCCTCTCTTGAATTTTTCATATACTAGCACTATTAATTCGTAGTGCCGACTGGGCAAAAGAGGGCTGATAGAAGAAAGTGAAAGAGGGTCACTACTATCAACTAGCAGATATCCTTGTGCATCCAAATCAACGCCTAGATGCCCTAAGGAACTTCTCATGTATGTTCTGCTACTAACGGTACACAAGTCAAGTAGATAGATAGATATATATGCAAGCATGACATGTCACGGTCTGCAGGCTTTATATCACTCGTATTTCCGTAGCATAGACCTAGTTGGGGGTAGCAACGAACTTGATACTCTATGAACTCTCAATCTGTCTGCTGAGCATCGCAGTATACATATACGTTATTCCTCTGAACGACTTGGACCCCCAGTGCAAGCGTCTCTCTCCGACAGGCTAAGCCTTTGATTCATGGATCTTCTCATCGTCTTCGGTGGCCTTGGCATCGTCTCCATCATTTCCTCCAATGAATAACTCTTTGATTTTCGTCCAATCCCTCAATTCAGCTACCACCTGCTCATTGGGCCTTGGTGGTACATGGTAAGTACTTACCATATACCCATCGCATCTTGTGAAAGCTAGTCCCATACTTCCATATAGATGATAAAGAGATTCATTTGCTGACCCCGAACCGATGAATTTACTCATGGCTGCTGCGGCTTCCCGTAATAAATCGATACGTGAACCTGTTGTCATATAAGAGTATTTGATTAGCGCCATGCTACAGGAAGAACAACTTAGGGCAGTGTTGACTAACCAGATGAAGATATTCCTTTCACCGCTGCACCGAAGAGGCAGGACACGAAATGGTCATGTCGATTGGCGTCACAGTTGTACCCAATATATGCCCTCTCTAGGAAAGGCTCACATGCGTCTCGAACTCTCTCTAAGCATACTCTCTGCATAATCAAACAAGTTAGCATGATAAGTTATCGCTGAACCAAGTTTTAGGGAGCTTGGATGTGAACTTACAGCAGTCCGGAGGATTGTCAAGTATGGGAATACGAAACAAGTCGTTTCTGACAAGAGCAACTTTCTCAATGCCAAAAGAAGATCGTTCACAGACAGACATGGCCGGGTGCTGTGCTTCAAAGAACGACTCCGCTGGCGAACCTATTGATGCCGCCATATTCATTAGCACAAGATCATATCCATAGCTCCTTCAAGACGAGCACTTACCTCACCGCTTGTCATCATTATTTGATGACTTTTCACATTGCCGGTAGACTCCCCAAGCTCGCTAAATATTTCTTTATGCGTAGCGACATCCAGAAGGCTCTCGACGAATTTCTTCGTCCAGTGACTTGATGTCATATTTTTCTTCGGTTTGTATTTATCAGAGAATAATCGCATAAATTCGTTCCTCGGTTTGATCTGTCGTTGTTTGACAGTGCCTTGGATGTTCTTCAGGCGTTTGCAATCAGGTGCAAAAGCGGACGCTGGGATACCTAGTTGTAATAGATATCTTTTTTGATAACTCCCCAGTGCCGACGGCCGGTCTTCGCCCACGAAGAATGATGATTTAGGTAGAATCATCATTAAAACGTCGAGATCGGGCCATGGTTCGCTAAGCACCTGTTCTTGCCATAATGCATTATACAGATGGGTGCTGGTAATCACGGTAGGATCTGCGTTAAGCATATCGATCCCGTACTCCTCCAATTCGGACTGGAAGAAGAACAAAGCTAGTCCGCAGAGAATAGGGTTACATCTTGCAAACTCTTTAGAAGGAGCTATGACTTCTGCAATGAATTTGTCCAACAACGTAGAAATCTTTTCAAGATTTTCGTGCTTCGACTTGTTGGTTTGTTGGTTGCTACAACGGTGGCTATTTCCGGATCTTTTGTAGCACCGCAGCTCATTTTGCATATAACCCATCTGCTGGATCATGTGTTCAGATGCCTTAAGGATGTTTTTGCCGTATAGATGGTGCAGGTCTAAAAATATTTGACCTGCGAATGCAACATGGACCGGCTCCGACGAAAGCTCATGTATGTTCTTCAATGCTTTCATCACCTCGTCTTGAGCTACCATCTCCCAACTGGAAGTGTGGAGGTTTGATTCGTTGAAATACCAATGCAGAAGAATGACATCAGCGATCTCTTTCTCACGGCCAGATAACTCGCTTTCGGGAGGGAAGATATCTGCTGCGTTGATATCACACGAGATCGGACTTTTCCCTTCCATGTATACGGACAAAAATGCCAGCGGAGTGATTAAATATCGCTCTTCAAAGCAATACATGTAAGCAGAATTCAATTGCTCGCCCTCATCATCTTTCTCCCAGATCTGCTCTTCGGGTAGTCCTGAGGCGTAGGCCGTTGCTGCACAGAGGACTTCAAGAAGATGACGAATGCCGCCATGCTTCTCACACATCTCGGTAATCTCCTCGAATAAGTCTCTCGCAAGCTCGATGCCAAGACTAGTAAATAATGCCGCACTGGTAAGTGGATAGTAAGTGTAATCTTCATCTTTGATGAAGACTTGGCCCCAAGCCTCAATTATGTGTCTTTTTATCTCGGAAACATCTCCGACAACTTTGTATAATGCGAACAGAGCATCTTCACGGGTTGTCTGTTCTTCCGCGATATACTGGCCCTGGCCACTTGACATATCGACGTAATCCGGCGTAGGAATATTAGAGTCGTTATCATATGACTCAGGCGGTTCCTCGATAGACAAATGGCCGAAATAGTTGGCAAAGTCGTTTGCAGTATCGCAAGATGCGTCTTGTTTATCGGTAGGCTTTTGCTTAAAAGTCATCCTAGAAACAGCACAGGGTTAGTAATGGTGCCAGCTAATATGCCATAATCTTCAAGCGCCACAAGTGATGCGCGAACAAAGATTGGTACATGCAGATAATAATGTATTTGATGTAATGAATGTGAAAACAATGATGAAAGGGCACGAACCTTGGTCGTAGTACATTGCAGACTCTTGCAAGAATACCCACGAAATGCTCATGGGAATCATCTGCCAGAGCGTCTAGATCATAACCGTATTTTCTTAGACGGCCGCCAAATTCTCCGCGTGACTTGATAGCACGTCTTAGAGATGCTGCTAGGGACTCTGGAACCGGAATGGGTGGGTTATGGTTGCTTATGTACTCTGCTAGGGGAACAAAGTCTCTGATAGCGATCACATATGTGCGATCGGTGGATTTGTCTGATGCCTGTTTGGCTTGCTTGCGGGCTTTGCCCTTCGGTCGGCCAGGTGGTTTGGGGGGGCCTAGGTTCTCTAATTTAGAGCCGTGGGCCTTTGCTGTCGTCGCCTGTACTCGTTCGTTAATATTAGCCGTCTCAAATATTACTATTGCATTCAATGTGTTAAATACTTACCAACCAAGTGGCTATGTAATTTGTGTCCGCCTTATACTGGCGGAGAGCGGAATAGAGTTCGTCGACAAGCATTTTCAGTGTCTTGAAATTGCTGCTGGAGCAGCAATTACAAGAAAAGTATCAGTCGAAGTTGTTGAAAGGAAGAAAGTTTTAATTTCTTGGGTGGGTGACGAGCAACGTTAGAATATAGGTTTACATCTGGCCGTCGTCCAGGTTAATTAGGTAAGCAATCCCAAGCCAGCAATTCTCTATAAGCTGATTGGCTGGGTGAGCATATGCCATCGTTATAGTGGGTCGGGGTTGAAAATAGTTGAACCACGACAGTAAAAGCCACAGTCCGAATAACTTATATCTAGCTCTTGCGTTAGTATTCGAAACTGATTATAACAATGATTAATTACCTTAAAATCTTTAATAGCCTTCATTTTATATAATTAAATATAATTAATGGGAGAATTGTTATTAAGTATTTTTCCAAAAATTAATCAACGTAAAAGATATGTGATAAAATGTATTTGGATAGGTATATAGAAAGGCTCGATTCATTTTAAAGCTTTTTATGTCTAAGCAGGTTATCCTATGTAAGCATTCATCCAGATAGTACTCATGTGATTGCTTGAGCAAGTTACTGCATCATTGCTTGCTCTGTGCTTTCAAATAAACTTTTAGTAAATAACCACCATTGGAGGTTAGGTACAGTTGGAATAACATCATTTTTCCTATTTGACGCATTGTCCATTTCGATCAAAAGGTCTCACAGTGTATATACTGACATAGATAGGTGAATAATTCGTGTGCTCGATATAGCACTGAGGTGGAACAGTGGATCTAACGAAGAACTCAAGCAAGCTCGGTCAATTATCAATAGGTAGGTACGGGAACAAAGCTACAACTTACGTCCTGTGCATGACAACATTAATGAATTCATAATATTCTCGTGATTTCTTTTGCGTGATGATCTCCTTGCTATCCCTACCCATTGACTTAACATCATAGGACATCGCTCTTTACAATTATTATAGACTAACATGTTACTTTTATATTGTTATACCAAACGTTAAACTTATCCATGACAAATACACTCTCCATATAACTTTACATACAAACGAAGCCTCAAGCATAATAACATACTACCTATCGACGAGTGATGACTTTGCAAACGTGATCTCCCTGTACTTATAAGGTCCAAGAATAGTAGGTGTTCACTTTACCTAGCAACCTACCCAAGTAGATATATAATACGAAATATAATATGAATATTGTACCCGATGCTGTCTAGGTGGAAATAAAAAGGGCCAGATTTTTGTTATGTTTTTATGACTGGACGTTAACTTAGCAGTTATCCTCACCGTTCTCTATTATTATTTCCAAAACTTCTATTAGATTTGTGGAAGTATTTCCCTGTACCTATTTTTTGATATTCGTTATGTCATTTTGAATCAATTATTCGATAGAAAAAGGGTTAGTAAATTTGCGACGACGTCAGCTAACTTAACGTTAGCAGATGCCTTCAGGATACTATCTCCTTTCACTCCATTCAATATCTTAGTTGTCTTCGAGGCCCTTGACGCAGTAAAGTTACGAGTAAATTCATTTCTCGCAGCAAAAGTCACACCGGTAAGCGAAATTATAGCTAAATACACAACTATATAATACAAGGTAGCTCTATTTGCCATTACATGCAAACGATGGGGAAGCCCTGCTTATAAACACATCCCTGCCAAAATGCAAGATGCCATCCCTTGATTACCCATTTCAGCAAACTTCACCGACGACGGAATGATCCTATTGGGGGCCCTATGAAATGTGCGAATACGAGCGATCAATCCGTTGCGTGTTGGGGCAAGAAAACAGTCCCTTGCCTGCGTACCTAGGTGCATCGGAACTGAAATGTAACTGAGCCACCTCAATGTTCCAACCAACCCCACAACCACTACAGTTGCTTCAACCCAACATGCGAGATCCTTCTCGACGACTACGCCCCATGTTGGCATATTTCTCTTGGAGAGCCTGTCTCGATAGCGATAGTAAGCCGAGCTCCTAAGCCTCCTTTATGAAGGCATTAGGTTTTGTATAGTTGAGCTCGATACCGACGAGAGTTCCCTCAAGTTTGGACCCAAGATGCTCGTGCCTCTACTTGCTGCAGCCGCGGTGCTGGCCCTCTCCTTCTCCTACAGCAAGCTTCGCTATATTCGGTTCCGCCAATATGCGCATTTTCCCCAACTTCCAAACTCACTAGTACTAGGCCATCTCAAAGTATTCGGGGAGTTCATCAAACGCAACAAGCCCAATGCTCACGAAGACCTAGCCATAGTAGCTATGAATCGAGCGCTGGGCCGACCTCCTCTAATGCTCATCGATATGCGACCTATTAGTAAACCAATTGTAGTAGTAGGAGACTACGAGATTGCTGATCAGCTCACCAAGGCATCGAAACTTTTCCCCACGAGCCCTCCCAAGTCTGCCAGTTCCGTAGAGCGTCTGCTACATCTGAACGGCCCAACTTCCATTCTTTTCCAGCATGTATGTATTCTCGACAGGTGCATAGGTTCCTACTATTAACCTTCCCCCAGGGTGAAGAATGGAGGCGGCTTCGAAAAAAGTTCAACCCGGGGTTTGCGCCCCAGTATCTGGTCACTTTCGTTCCAGATATCGTAGAAAAGGGCATGATTTTCCTAGAGCGTTTGGACGCCTTCTGCAAGACCGGGGATGCCTTTCCACTGATGGCCCTCACTACCCGGCTGACCTTTGACGTTATTGGAAAGGTCGTCATGGAAACGGACTTAGACGGCCAATACGACGACAAAACCAAGAAGGGCGAGATAGTAGATCTATTCGAGACTTTGCTCGACGCCTATAACGGCGATCGTGGTAACCTGCCATGGTGGCTAAACATTCGTAACGTCAAGCGACGATCCGCGTTAGCAAACCGCATCGCTAGCTTACTGCGAACTATTGTGTACCGCAAGCACGTGGAGCTTCACGAAAAGGGGGCGGCCACTACCACTAGTAATCCTCGCAGCGTTCTCTCCCTCGGACTGCGAGATATTGAAACTTTAACACCAAGCGTCGCGGACGAAATAAGCGACCAACTCCGCACATTTCTCTTCGCAGGACACGACACGACAAGCATCCTGCTATCATGGGCATTCTACGAGCTTTCCCGAACCCCCCACGCCCTTCGCACCATCCGCGCCGAGCTAGACGACCTGCTCGGTCGCGACGCCAGCCCCGCCGCCGTGCGCGCCCGTCTGCTCGAGCAGGAGGACCTCGTGCAACGAATGCCCTTCGTCTCGGCCGTGATCAAGGAGACGCTGCGCCTGCACCCGCCGGGCGGCACCGCGCGCGAGATCCCCGCCGGCTCCGGCTTCGCCGTCCGCACGCCCGACGGCGAGCAGCGGTGCCTCGACGGCCTGCTGGTCTACAACTGCCAGAGCATCATCCACAGGGACCCCAGGGTCTTCGGCGACACGGCCGAAGACTTCGTGCCCGAGCGCTGGCTGGACGACGACGCGAAGATCCCGCCCGGCGCGTGGCGCCCGTTCGAGCGCGGCCCGCGGAATTGCATCGGCCTGGAGCTCGCCAACGTCGAAGCGCGTGTCATCCTCGCGTTGGCGGTCCGCCGATACGATTTTGTTAAAGTGGGTCTGGGCGAGGTCGTCCTAGGTGAGGACGGCAGGCCGAGTTTGGATAGTGCAAAGGCCCAATACAAGGTGGCGGAGGAGCTATATACGGTAAGTATTGGCACGACCCATAGCCATCGTGGCGTAACCCGCTGACATAATAGGTGCAGACGAGACAAGTGACGTCAAAACCGGTCGATGGGATGATGATGAAGGTGAGGTTAGCGAAATGACCAATCGACCTGTGTATTACCTAGTAGTTAAGGAGGCGGGGATTTTATACGTACCTAAGGAGGACACCGAATTGAAAGTGGTTCAATTAGGAGAACATTCGAAACGGCCTTCGTGTGCCGAGCTTAAAGAACGAGGAAGTAAATAAAAATAAAAAAGTTGGTTAAAAGCAGACTTTTGGTGTGAATCGAACCTAAGTAGATAGGGGGACAAAAAGGTCGGCGTAGGGTAAGATATGCCTCGCTGCAGAGCACCAACCAATTCCAGCGGACTAGCTCACTAAGCTAATTCTTCGCTTCGGGAAGGGAATCTAGACAGCCTCTCTTAGTGCGCCACTGCTAGTTGCTGAAAAACAAACCTTTAAAGATACCTATAACCTTTGTATGTCAGACGTTATGTGAGTTAGTGATTACATAACCAACCCCTGCCTCCGAGTGCCAGAACAGTATTTAGGTACCCATACGGTGTATATAACCACCAACATCGAATATTTCGAGTACTTAACCTACAATAATAAATGGTGCCGAAAAAATCACAACATGCCAGTGGATGGTATGGATGTATTAGCTAGGCGGTCAGACACGTGCTCGCACCTAAACTGCTCGTATATCATTTGCAAAAGTCACTGGATCACTATGAATTCGTATCGAGTATCAGGACTACTCGATCATCTAACCATACTACTTAGATTGAGTACACGAAGATTATAATCGAGTTCATAAGTACGGCGGTATTCTTTAACCGAACCATCATATAAACATCATACCTTCAAGCCCTCGAAATGGAACCCCTTGTACCCGCTCGACGCGCAGCTCCTCAGCTTCGCGTGGTAGTTTGGCACGCCGCCCAAGTACATCTGCGACGCCCTCGGCTTCCCGGGGATGTTGTCGCCCATGTACCACTATCCATCCGACGCCGTTAGCCACCATTCCTTTTCAAAGTTTCTCGCGGCACGGTTACGAAACAGTGTTATTTGGGGGAGCGTCAACTTACAGACTTAGCCTTGGGCAACAGCGAAGCGTACGCCACGCTCTCGACGTGGTCGCCCCAGGCCTTCTCGCTGGCCTCGTCCGCGACGATACTGCTGATGCCGGCGCGGCGGAGGCGGTTCATCACGTCGGCGATCCAGTTGCCCTGCAGCTCGGCGCACGTGGGGCCGTTGCAGAACGCCGTCGGCGCCTGGGGTCCGTACGAGAAGAACATGTTCGGGAAGCCCGAGACGCAGATGCCGCAGTACGTCGTCGGACCGTGCTGCGCGAACTTCTCCTTCAGGCTCCGGCCGCCGATCCCGCGAATGTCGATGGTCGTCAGGCCGCCCGTGACGGCGTCGAAGCCTGTGGCCAGAACTATGGGGGGTTTTGGTTAGCATGGGTTGATGATGATGATGTCGGATCCTGGATCTACTCACTGATTACGTCGAAGTCCAACTCCTGTTCCGTGGTTCGGATACCCTTCTCCGTTACCTCAACCACAGGGGTATGGTTGACGTCGACAAGATGGACATTCGGTTTGTTGAACATCTCGAAATAACCTCTTTCAAGTGGGACACGCTTGCATCCGAAGGGGTAGGGCTGCTCTGTAGGGGCCAAAAGCTCCTGGAGTTTCGGATCGTTAATCCTAGCCCGCGTCTTCTCGCGCCAGAACTTGTATGCCTCATGGTTGGCCTCAGTGCTGAAGAGCATGTCTGCATAGGTGCCGAGCCAGTATTTGAAATCGCCTTCTTTCCAGAGAGACTCATACATGGCTCGTCGTGAAGCTTCATCGTCGTCAAAAGTGTTCTTTGCCATGAGGTTGAAATCGAAGCCCCAATAGCCACTGGCACTCTTCTTGAAGAATTCGGCAAGTTCCGACTTGGGAATGGCTTCTTCGCCGTCGGCATAGTCGATCTGCTTCATGTTCAGTGGCATGGCGGGTGTGCGTTGGAAGACGACTAGGTCGCCTGCAACCTCGCTCAGAGCATGAGACAGCTGAACGCCAGTTGAGCCGGTCCCTACGACGGCAATCCTCTTGCCCCTGAGATCCGGCTCATCGTGAGGCCAGTATGACGAATGAACAATCATGCCCTTGAACGAGGAAATTCCCTTCCAGTTAGGGATTGCCCTACTGGCAGCGATCCCAGTATGTGGTAGGAAGAATGTTGTCTTAAAAGTCCGACCATCCTTAGCCTGAATTATCCACTTATACTCGGTCTCGTCCCAGGTAGCTGAACTAATGTAAGTGTTGAAGTAGGTGTCCTTTCTCAAGTCCCACTTCTCAGCCACAAATTCGAAGTATGCCCGTAATTCCGCGTGGCCAGGGAATCGTTGTTTCCAGTGCCAGTTCTGCCAGAGCTCAGGGTCGGAGAACTGGTAGTGGGGTGCGTGGCTGTCGACGCGAGCGCCTGGGTACCGATTCCAGTACCATATGCCGCCGTAGCCATTGCCAGCCTCTACCATCTTCACATTGTAGCCTTCGTCACGAAGCTTCTTCAGCTGATATACACCGCTGAAGCCAGCTCCAATGATGAGGGCGTCTAGCTCCTCGACACTAGTGGTTTCGATGGAACCCATTTCGGTTTCGGTCTACCCCAACTCGTAATACTATAGCAATGGTTCACAGCTGATAGTCAAGAGAACTGCCGATTTCCGGATGCAGACTTTGGGGTATCTAGATAAGGAGGCTTGTCCTATAAATCCAGTGCGCAAGCTGAGGACACGACTCAGCGGTGGCGGATTTGGAGCATATGCTTATATATATGCAGGTACTCATATTGAAAGGTCACTGCTAAGCTATTGAACTAACCTCGCAAAAGCACCTGCATTGTTGGTTGGGATTATGGTCACAAGGAGGTTGCCACCGAGTTTCCCGGGGCCGCCATATGCACGTTAGCCTTTGACTAATGTGGCCCAGGGTTTCGACAAAGGTACTAAAGCAGAGAGGAGGGTCCTTCTCATGCTGTCTCTTCATGTTAGACCAAGGTAGGTAAGAGCCGAGAGTAGACGTTGGTTGGCATACGACCGTTGACTGTGTTACCCAATGGTACGGTCCTTGCCATGCATTGCGAGTTCTTTATTCGTTGTTTCTCCACATTAAGGGTCGAGGGTTCAACATGTAATACACTTGCTTAGTTTGTGTAACTTATATCGATGCTCTTTCAAGATCCATGTGATCGAGTACTTGTCCCTTTCTATCGGTAGCTGGCAAATTAACTAGATCCGGTCATAACCTCGTGACAAGGACCCGACAAGGAGAAACAAAGATCAACAAGTCCCCTAACGACCATTTGAAAATGGTTCTAGAAGGCAAATCCTTTCTTGGTCTTGACCCCGTTTCTCGGAACGACCGTGACAAAGAAGTTCTATCCGAGGACTACGCGCGATTTGACCTATCATATGCACCATCTTGTAAACCTAACTGCCGTATGAACGTGGTGGGCCTGCACATAGGTGTTTTCTTGTTTAGGGTATATCATTTTAGTAGCCACTGAAGATGTAAAAATTTGGCAATAGGATCCGATTCGTGCTTACGACCAACTCAAGTTCCTTGGCGTACAATTGGGTTGTCATGTCCGGTGATTTTCTACGGCTATTGTAATCGGTGATAATGCCTGGTGTTATATGCGGTCGCCAATTTTCAGGGGCTAAAACCCGGGAGCCCCCATCTAGGCACTGTAGTGAGCAGAACGCCATTGCCAATGGGAACGAGTGGTAGGAGATGGGTGGCGTGAGGTTTCAATTGTGTAACGCAACACATGCTAAAATCTTACATATTATTTGTTGGCAGCGCGATTATGTGACGCCAGAGAGACGGCATGATCATAGCGGTTCTTCATAGAAGTAATAAGTGCTACAAATCTACGCTTCTGATTACATTGACACAACCCCTCCATCAATCTATGAGATCAGTCATGACAATATTAGCAATTCTTCTTTTAATACGATTTGCATCAGGGCTAATTTCCAAGATGCACTTCACATAATGAGTTCACACGGTTCCCCAAATGTGACATACAGTGACATGTCCACGGAGATCACCCCACAACAAACCGGGAATATCACAAAACTGGCCTTTAACAGTAAAGTAGGGTATTCGCAGACATCACCGTTTTGGGAAGATATTAACTTGTGGGACGTTGTTAGCTACAGCTGTATACGTATAGGATGATATATCTACTTCCCTGCCCCACCATGCAAAATCTAGAAAGCAACATGACCTCGGTGCAATCCTATCATAATATTAAATAAATTACTTTAACCAACAATAACAACTCAAAATTTAAGTCAAAATTTCAACTTGAATCATCATACTAAACATCACTTCTTAATTCACGGGGGAAGAGGGAGACTACACGGTTTATGATCAAGTACGTACATTACGACGGATACATTCAATGCCATGTTATATGATCTAGTGGAAGGAAACTGGCTGGTAATTACTAACACTCATGCGCAACTCATGCCTTGTAAAATTAAAGCTGTTTTCTAGGTTAGTAACATGTAACTGGTTAAATGCAGCTTTACTGACCTCCGGGGGATAGTTAGTCCTCATCATACCCGCCAAGAATTTTGCAACTTGGTCATGGAGTAGTAATCAGACAGCTGCCTACCTAGGTAATGACTGATCCAAGAGACTTATGGTACTCACTTGCGTGTTCTCTCATTTCATCGGAGTTAAGCGTTAAGTTATACCTTCTTACGCTCTACTGAACCCGTAAATACGCAGCATATTCTTACGTTAGTACGCTTCCTTCTGCTTCTCCGCAAGAATCACCGAGACATCACCGCTTGCTCGCTCTAGTGCATTAGTTCCACCGATATTTTGCATTTGCTAGGAAAGTGTCATGAGAGGATCTCCAGATAACCGACGTGTAAGTAGCCGAGCGTCCCGGTAGATCCAAACAAGAATTTGTCAACGATGGCTTTAAATACCTATCCACTATTCACATCCCACGGTTTTCTACGACACTGGCAACATCATAACTATCGGCATTCTTGGGATGATGGACAAAATACACATAATATTATCCTCTAGATCATGGCTATATCATAGGTTAATAGGGGCTAAACTACATAAGCTATGAAAGATCAAGGAGGTTATTGACCTTTCCAAGAACCATGTAATCGGGAGTCATCAAGACCTTATATGATTGCGTTCTTTGGGTTATTCTAATATTTATATCGAGAAAGTCTAGGGCCAATCTTTGATTATGGAATAGATCTTATTTTTCAGGTCTTCCAATAATTCCTTTTCTGAGCTTTCAGACTCATCCTACAAGCATATATCATGAACGAAAGTCACCTTTACCATTAGTCCTAAACGTTACCAATAGATTTAACTTTAAAAGAGATTATTCATGCGGGCCTTCGTCGCAAAGGTAGTAGATATCCTCAATCTTTATGGTAATTAGAACACAACGGATTCTTTTACCGATCCTGGAGATTTAAAATTGAGGTCACAGGAGGATTTATTTTCCTGTCGTATTACTAACCGTTTCGATTCTGGGACGGCACTTAAAGACGTTGGATCCTCATGATCAATCTGATATCCATATACTAAGACTTAAGTAAGCGTACCTACTTACCTACTTAACTAACAATGAATAATAATAAAAATACCACAACCCCATAGAACCCAATAAAATAGGATTTATAAAAATTCGAAGATATTTTAAACATACAATCTAAGAGGATATGATGTATCATTAAAAATTTTTAAAATTCCGAGACTAGATCTGTATGTTTATCAAGGAGGAAGAAGGGAGAAGGGAACTTCTAGAGATGAGATTGGACAGGTAAATATTGAGAAACAGAACCAAGAAAGAACGGCGGACTTATTCAAGCCTGGTGCTGCTCATATTGTAACAGTAATAATTCAATTCCATATGATAATATAGCCCATATCCAATATCGAAAATCGAAAATACCAAGAAAAGGGGCTACTCATACATTTCCGAAGGATGAGCTGTCGTCAGTTTAACCTTCGTTTACTTACTAATACTGGTTAGCGGATCATTCAGTACCCACATACCTAGTTAGGCAGTTGATTAGATAATCGACTGCGTCCAGCCACATGTGGCTAGTTTTCAAAGAGCATCAGCCACGGCTGAGCCTTAGTTGAACCTTAGCTTATGCAAGCTCCAACTTGCAACGCGCAGCTTCGAGTTGCCTAACGAATAGAAGCTCCCTCGTCAAACATCACCAAAACCCGCCGAGCTTCATTCCCACCGCAATTCTCCTCCCAAACTTACAGAACGCATACATTTAGCCTGCCACTCACATAAATTCCAAAATGGTGTGTTCAATCCCCCAAAAGCTTATTATTCCAGAGCTAACCCTTGCTCCAAAATAGACGTCAATAGGAACGGGCTACGATCTCGCCAACTCCATCTTCTCGCCCGACGGACGTAACTTCCAGGTCGAATATGCGGTGAAGGCGGTAGAGAACGGCGGCACCTCCGTCGGCATCCGATGCAAGGACGGCGTCGTCCTGGCCGTCGAGAAGGTCGTCACATCCAAGCTGTTGAAATCCGGCGCAAACAAGCGAATCGCGACCATCGACCGGCATCTAGGAGTTGTACGTTGCCTCCTCCCCGTTCTCTCCCCCCTCTCATTCCCCCTTCTCCCGTATTCTGCACTGCCTATAGGGAAGATTGGCGAGGCTAACTGCTTATTATTTCGCTAAATAGGTCTACTCCGGCATGGTACCCGACGGCCACCACTTCGTCGACCGCGCGCGGGACGAGGCCCGGGCCTGGCGTGAAACCTTCAAGACGCCGATCTCGACGTCCGACCTCGCTAGCCGCATGGGCGGATACCTGCAAGCGTACACGCTGTACCAGTCGGTGCGGCCGTTCGGCATCACCGCCATCGTCGGCGGCTTCGACTCGGAGCTGGAGGCGCCGGTCGACGGGCAGGTGGGGTCTGGCCCCTCGGTCGGGGCCGGCGGCAAGGTCGAGGGCAAGCGGCACGGCGGGCCCGGGCTCTACATGATCGAGCCGAGCGGCATGTACTGGGGCTACTACGGGGCGGCGACGGGCAAAGGGCGGCAGGCGGCCAAGGCCGAGCTCGAGAAGCTGAACCTGTCCGAGGGCGGGCTCGACCTGAAGCAGGCGGTCAAGGAGGCCGCGCGCATCATCTACGTCGCGCAGCAGGACAACAAGGACAAGGAGTTCGAGCTCGAGATGAGCTGGATCAGCGGCGCCGACGGCCCCACAGGCGGCCGCCACCAGGACGTGCCCAAGGACCTCCTGGAAGAGGCCGAGCGCCTGGCCAAGAAGGCCATCTCCGAGGATGACGACGAGGACGAGGACGAGGATGATACTAAGATGGAGGGATAGGTTAAGGAAATGATGAACGATGAATGATGGAAATTGTCTAGGCCGAAAAAAAGAAATTAAGAAAAAGGGCTTGTACTTTTACGACGGACGTGGCGAGGCGCTCGTGATTGTGGGCGACGGCGACGGCGACGGTTATAGATTAATTCCATCTAAGAGCCCTGGTCCCTGATCGAAAGTCGTGTGCTACTGGCAATTCGTTGCATATCACTCTGGAGCTGTGAGTTGCTCAGTTCACGAAGTTTAGATTATATACCTTCTTAATTCTCGCTCTGAAGGCTAGCGCTCGGCAACGACAGTCTAAACGTACTTGTCCATATACCCCCTAAGTGACCCCCTGGAAACTTGCTAAACCATACTCAGTTTGAATTGATGTAGGGAGCATCATAAAGCGACCTTTGCTTGGAAAGAAGTTAAATTGCAACACGTATTAGAGGTGTCACGATTAGGGCCTAGCAGGTGGTGAAAATAGCGACGTTGTTGCTTGAGGAGCTCAAACCCTCTCTTACCCACTATCTGGAGTCGCGGTATACATACAGGAAATGCCCTCTATCTACTATATCCTATGATCAACCGTCGATAAGCCTCCTCCGGGCCTAACTACGATCCCACCGGACCTTTAATTATTAATCCTTCCATTAGACCACACCTCTTATAGGAGAGATCATGAAAGAGCAGTAGAAATAATCCCGAACTCTAACACTGTCGGTGGGTCGAAAGGAAAAATTGATTCGCTGTGCAGTCGCTTGCAATGCATCATAATGCGTATCCACCGGTAAGTAAGTGCATGCCTCTTCATCATATCCCTCGAATGATATGCGGAACTTTTCGAAAGACTTGTTATCCATTCCATTCCTCCTCCCCACTTAATAAACTTGCCAACCTTGTGTGTGCTCCTCCTGACTGTCCGGCACACCAAGGTTACTGACGATTAAGTATCAGCAGCAACATGTGGTGGTACCGGTGTGCTCTTCCTTGAGTAGGACTGTGTTAATGAAAACTCAAGGAGAATAATTCATCGCATCGTCATCATCATCACCACCATAAATCTCTCCTTCATCAGCATCATCATAGTCGACACCAATGACCGATAGCAGGTCATGGTGTTCTAGGACCCGTCTCCACAAGGCTAGATCCAGCCAACGGCTACTGCCTGGAACATCCATTGGTAATCAGGATCCTGCGGATTGCCTTGGTTCTGATAAGTTCCGCGAAGATCTATCAGCTGACCCACCCGCTGGGTCTTCGCATCGTGCGCCTCGGACCAGTTGCGAATATTCTCTGGAATCCTAGGTTGGAGTGGTACCATGTACGTATCCCACTGGTTGAAGTGAGTTGGCAGTATAGCTTCCGCTGCCTCATGCTCAACGCCGCCGAGGAGATTTATCCAGTCGTGAAAATCCTCATCCTCCTCTAGCACAGTGTGCCAGCTTTGAATAGTCGCCGGGTTGGCGCGCTCGCGTTTGCGAGGTGCAAGTGGTCCTCCAGCACTTATGAGCTCCTCCATGAACTCAAGAAGTTGACGATTCTTGTTTCCTAGCTTGTAGCAGTTGACGAAAGCATGGTAAGGACCCCAGGCGTCGAACGGACAGTCGCGGGGATGGATCTTCTTCGCCGAGTTGGCCCGAGTTGAGAAACCCCAAGAGTACTTCATGATGATGAGACGCATGCAGTAGTTAGCAAGCTCATTCATCTCGAGACTTATGGCCACAGTCCATAGCACCTCAATGTCGTCAGTTGAGCCGATTGAAGCGTCGCTCACGTTACTAGGATCGAACAACCTTCCAGTGTAACACCATTGAACGATCTGACTCCACACAGCAATAGCCTTTTCATCTTTCTGCTCGGACTCAATCCAGATGCGGTGTACTGGGTTCGCTTGAGAGTATACAGCGTTCTTGATAGTTGCAGACCAGTAGCAGAGCAAGCTAGAATGGCAAGTGACATAATGCTTCTGTTGGTTGATGGTGAAGCCTATCTCCAGCATTTTATGCCTACTATTTGCCAAACTTTGCCATGTCAGATCTCTACTATCCACTCTCCTGCAGTTACAGATGTATTACTCACATTGTCCCGACTGTCTGAGAATGTCGATGGTGGATACGGGTGAACACGCAAGATTCTTGGCAACCGTATAAGCATTGTTCACAGGTGCAATAACTCGATAGCGCAGAGTAATTGGGCAGCCCTGACATTTTGATCGACATAATACTCGCGGTAGTAGTAAGACGTAGTCGACCTTGATAGTGTCGTCTTGAAGAGTTCTGCAAGGGCTACGATAAGCTAGAGTTGTAGATGTCTCTGAAAAGCTGTCAGTATATAGATACCTTGTACATAGAGGTTGGCGAAAATAGACTTACAGCTACATATATCAATATGTTTAAAATGCTCGTCGCGGTTAGGTCGATATATATGTCGTTGAACTTAGTTGAATGTATAGTGTCGACAGGAGCTAGTCGATAGGAATTGCTAGAAGCTAGTCAGGTCAAAGGCCCTCAAGAACTATTATATAAATATCGCCAAGACTGGGCGTGTAGAGACTGCTGAAGCCAAGACAACCAGGCTTTAGGTAGACCAGAACTGATCGAATAGAAGAGGGCAAGTATTAGACTCTGGGAGTTATCAAACTTATTCGGCTTATAGACCATAGCAAGTGAAAAAGAAAATTTGGATGCCATTAGGAATAAGTGTAGATATCGCCCGGGCTAGGTGGCGCCATTGTGAAGACTTGTAGGAAGGGATGATGTTGGGGAGTTAGATCAGAAAATTGGAGGACAGGTGATATTTGTAGAAAAGGGTCAAATGTAGAATACTATGTTAGTAGCAAAAGGGGAGTCATAGCTGGAGTTGCCAAAACTTACCAGTCAGTTAATAGTCTCTGACAACGATTACCGAAGGAATGTATGGTTGAAGTAGAAAGAGGGTGTAGGTTAGTTAACGTGGTTTGGTCACAACCTTAAAAACTACAGCGAGCGATGCTGAAATATCTGAGAGATGATATAAATGATTTCGAGTGATGAATCTAATAGATATAACGATGAAGTTGTGAAATTCTAGAGGTTATATGGTAGAAGCGAGAGACAATGGTCAGTGTGGATGAGGAATAGAAACTTGGATATGCAAGAGAGAGATGTGAGGAAGGAAAGCAAAGAAGTTCACATTCGTTTTGCAGCGTCAAGACATTATATACTAAGACGTGGACGTCTTTTCCTCTTGTTTGCAGCATTCATCCTGTCTCTATTCCACAAATCGACTCTTTGCCATTGCCATATCCCATCTCTGCTATCTTCAAAACTTAGAGTGGCACACGGCATGTGCTATGTCTGCTTGGCGTACTTATAGGGATGGATAACCATTGCAATTACGAATGAAAGCGGTGGAGACATACTCAACAAAGGTTGCTTGACTTATTTCAAACAGGGACAAAGTATAATAAGGAGTAAGAACGATTGCCGAAGCTCTATGGGGACCTCTCATCTTTAAATGTTCATCCAGTGCCTGCGATTTCGCGACCATGTAGTTGTAGAAGGGATGAATTATGGTCCGTGTTCATGCCACATGTTCAGTAGCGACCCACCGTTTCAAGGCACATGTCCACTCTTAAGGCTGTCATTAACGTTTTGAGGGGTCAACGCGTGGTTCGGAGAATTTTCCTGTGTCTTTAACTTCAATCGATCCTGGTTGTCGGCCGTAATTGGCTTGTTGGACAAGATCATGCTTGCAGGAACGTGGCCCCCATGACAGGTACATACAAAATCAAACCTCCGCAAGGCAATCGCGGCGATTTCCTGATTGGATGTCAAGTTTCATCTAAGTTTTCAGTGGTTGCGCTTTCCGACGGATCATATAACTGCCCTTAGAAGAGGTACTAACGCTAATTATCCACGTGCCAGTGGCAGTTAGGGATACTTTCAGTTCTGCGAAGGGAAATTGACGCCATAGCGTCCAACTGCGGAGCAAGAACGAAGCCGTTACTGCCTCCAGAAGTATTATTAAGTTACGGGTATATCCGAAACTATGAATAGAATCTCGCTTGAACTTTTGTTGGTAGCAATCAGCCGTTGTCAAACCCAATGCAATTACATTCTATATGGATGAATGACGTTATTACTAGGGAGGTAACCTATTCTATTTCAGATCAACCTTTTCTTTGATATCGATTTCTCATATCCATGCAGAAATGCATAGAAGTTAATGAAATGCACAAGGGACAACGGCTATTCTTAGTAGGTGATCAAGCATTATCCTACCAGCTAACAACTTTACTCACTGAGACTATTATTTCTAGAAGTTATAAAAGTTAGCCTTAACAGAACTCATTTATATAAGGGTAACTTCATTGACTAGGTAATGAGAAGATCGGGTACCAGTTAAATGGGTAGGTAGTATTAGACATCCTGCTAGTAATTAATTACAAGATAGAGTAATACATGAGGCATAGATTGAACTATCTCGAGGTTCGCTTTATCATATGGATGTCTTGTGGGCTATTATGATGAGTCTACCTAGTTAGTATTAAACTTTACACCTATTTTGTCATTTTGCTACTCCTTAAGCATCTTAAATTCATTTCTACTTGGATTTTCGGCTTCATATTACAGATAAGCACAATAGTTCAATACTTCAATGGTGGAGAGGTATAAATTTCTCTATCTTCATTTTAATGCTCTATTTTACTCTAGTATTCAAGTTAAATTCTTAGTCAGTGGAGCTATCTTATGCAATCAAAGAAACTACCACTTTTGATGACACTTAGTAACCGACTTCAAGATTTACAATGGATAAAATTTAATATCTTAATGCTCACATAAGTTTCTCAAGCCTTATATTTAATATTAGCTATAGACCGTACAACCAGTGAAGCTACTCCTTGTTATATCGTAACCCCTATTTCGCCGGAATCCAGGGGGTGGCGCACGGAGTTGTGGCGCACGAAAATTCGGCAATCCACGTAAGCAAGAAGAACCTTCAATCATATAATCGTCCATTATATGAAGCTTTTCCCACGAACAAACTTTATATAAAAAACTTGACGAAGCTATCAACACATGATCCGGGCAGAAAAGCTTCCTCGGGTTTGCTCTACGTAAGTATGGAAGAATGACGTTGGCTTTTCATCCCATTATCCCCTACACCGCTTGTGGGGTGACCCGCAGTGGCGAAAGTTAAGGTTCGCCATGGGGAAAGGTTTTAACGCGCCGGGCCACTGCATTACATATGCACATGCATGTACGCAATAGACCAGACGTTCCTCAACCTAATGACCTGCATCATGCAGCATGCACCTGCGGGAAGAGACATCGACGTGGCACGTCGTCAAACTGGTTTGAATTAAGAACGGTTCGACTCGGTCCGGATTTTGTGTCTGGAAAGCCCGGCCCCGTTCAATCAGTTCTCCAATGTTTTTACCAAAACTTCGGTGATCCTCTTCTCTTCCCCACCTCTTATTAGGTAATGCTTCCAGCGTCTGTCCCTGACCGACTATTCCAAAGAGAAATCATCCAGCGAAATGTCTGACTATACAAGAGCATGTCAGCTATGTTCGTAATAAGTGTCCGCTATTTAGGAGCGGTGAAGGGTCGCTTGGTAGTAATCATTTTATGTTGACATTGGCTGAATGAATAAAGTCATTGTGAACTGGTATTGAAATTATTCCCAAAATGTTGATTTAATAGAACCCAAGTTTTCTACTCAATAACATTCCAAAGTCCGTTGTGAGAAATGAGTATCGCGCCGAATTATTTTACCTTCCAAGAGTGCGAGATTATATATACTACGAATAGTCGAAGGTGATTTAGGATAGTAGTACCTACCAACTTCTCATAATTACATTAAAACGTCACTAACACTAATAACGTATGAATCATTGGCGATTGGCTCTTCATATTACCAAGTAGCTATCACAGCTAACTTAGCCCAGAGGATCAAATGGGTATCACCCCGTCATCACCTCCGGAGCACAAACGCACGTATGCGCGGGTCAAAGCGCAGACTCCCGAGACCAGGAGTGGCAGCAGTAGGAACTATTGTACAGATTGGCAGTAGGATGATCAAGTTAATGACTCCCACATACCCAGACACAAGAGTAACAGGAAGATGGAAATCCTGCCAGAGACCACGAGCCTAGACGCCAGTTACCAGTCCCTTAATACCTAGTACCTGTATATAACGTCCGCTCGAATCCGGCCCCGTAGCACAACCCCACCGTATCTGCAGTCAATCTGATCTCTTAAAAAAACGTCTGCGACACGACGCATAACTCTCCCCCTCCGAACCCCTTCCTTTTCACTCCATCCATGGTGCATCTCATCAATGTAGTTGTCCATTGTCGAGGCCCACAAGTAATATGGTCCATCGGACAAGGAAGTAATGCGGATATTATTGGTGTCGAAAGGTTTTGGTGTCCATGTAGAATGTTAAAGAAAAATCGTGGTGACAAGTGTTTCGGGTCATAATAGACCGCGATCGTATCAGTCGTAGCGCCTCTCGTGTGACCTCGAGAAAGCGTCGAACTCGTGAAAATTTTTGTAGTCAGACTCGTAATGAAATGTAGCTCGTAAGGCGGCACTCCACGTAGTAGAGGCGTAGAATTGGATCTCTCATCGATGAGAGGAGCGGAAGCTTGGGCTTCGATAGTTGCTCAAAGGATAGGTCGCGTTAATAGGAGAAAAAGAGAAAGAGCAAAGTAAAACCCGGATTTCCTAACCGTACGCCATGCTTTTATAACACACAAAGAGAAAAGAATAACCACCGGCCATTGAGCAATCAGATGCCGGATCCAACATAGCTCAGGGCAATGCAACCAACCGGTTTGCTATGCAAATGCCTGTCTAATGCTGAAGCGAAAGAAGAACTGGGTATAATCAACGTGGTCTATGAGACCGTAAAATCAAAAAGAAACGAGGCGGGGTATGATAAGAAGCATGAGAGATGGCGTAGTTAGGAGATGCCATTCTCCAATTCGACTCTAAGAGTCGTGGGATCCTCTAATAAGAAGCCATACGTCGAGGCGATCGGCTATTTCCTAGAATTGGAGAGTTACCGATCATCATGATAGGCGATTCATGCTCATAGCGTCTCGAGGGAGCAGTGGGAGACGCATCGACCATCGAGTCTCGGTGGCCGAAGGCGAATGTCTTGGCCCTGCCCAGGCCCTTGCGCTTCTGCTGCAACTTGCCCATCTCACGTTCACACGTGTTGGCATGCTCCTCAGCGCCCATGGCGACATAAGCTTGAGGATAGCATCGATCGCGGTGCTCGATGAAGAACTCGCTGTATCCACCGTCAAGGATATATACTTCCGGGTAAGTAAGCCGCGGATAGCATTCCGCATTGACCATGCGGTCGGATGCGCGAACATGACGGGCCATCATGGGCGCGCGGCAAGCCGAGTATTCACAGTGGAAGATCAAAAGCGTCTTACCATCCATAGGATTCTCGAAGAGCTGTCGTGTAAGCAACTCCTTGTCATTGTAGTTGACAGCAGTCTCGATATGACCGCCTTCATATTCGTACTCAAAACGACAATCGATTATCATCTTCTGGGTATAATACTCGTTGAATTTGCCATCCATTACATCGAGGAAGGTAGCCTTAGAGATGCGAGGAATGTTGTCATTCTCACCGTCCGGGAAGAAGTGAGGTAGCATAGGATCTTGTGGCTCTTCTACATCCATGACAGCTTGCAAAGTGCTCTGAGTCATGGGCTCCTCGGAGCTAGCCTTTAAGACATCCTCCGGACTGTCGAACATGCTGAGTGACCGGCGATAGGGTCGACGAGATCGAGCAAAAGGGTTCGATAGCCGACGAACGTGGCTGGGAATAGGCGAACCGTTGCGAATGTCCTGGGTCGTATTCGCACCCGCAAAACGAGGTTTGGGCCGGGACACGGAGTTAGCGGGGGACGGGCTATGTGCGGTCTGCGGTCTGCGGTCTCGATCTTGAAGGGGGGAATCCTCGAAGCAATCGCTGGGAGACATCCCGGAAGACGTGGACGCGCCGAATCGCGTCTCAGAGCCAAAGCGAAAAGACGATATCTGGCTCTCTGGGTGCAATCGGGTAGACAGAAGGGAACTTGTCGTGTGAACCTTCGTTCGGGTCAGAGATGGTCGACGAATTCCTGCCCGCTTACGGCTGCTACAATGATAATTAGCTTTCTCGTTCTTCACAATAACCACAACCAGCTTACTCAAACAACATCTTCGACGGCTCCAGGCCCGCAGAAGATTGACGCGTCAGAAGAGGAGAATCCATTATCATCATATCATCTTCATCCGCTCCTTGGGGGGTAGGAGAAGCAATCTCGAAGGAGCTAAAGAAAGGTTCCTTCTGCGGCATCGGGGACATGTCCATATCCATAGACTCGCCCATTGGTACAGGAGAAGACGTGGCAGGGGGCGGCGTCTTAACTCGGGCTATAGAAATATCAGTTATCAATATTCATTTCCTGCTTTCAAGATCTTCGTAAGCGTACCACGTTTCTCGATAGCTTCCATCATGTTGGAAGTAAAGAGAGCACGGCGGGGAGTTGGAAAACGGGGACTAGTTCTACAAGTTAGCCCATAGTCGCCTATACAAATCGGTTACCGACATACCTATCCTCGCTATCAAGTCGGAAGTTCTGCGAAAGATCCGCAGCAAGACTAGCACCAGGAGACGAGCCACGGACAGCACCAAAGCTGAAGTAGTCAGGTCTAGTGCGTTGCAACTGCTCGCGAATACCCATGTTACTGGAAGCGAAAGGGTTTCGCGACGGCAAATAATGAGAAGACTGTCCCCAAGCCGGAGCTGGGGCAGGACGCATAGCAGCTAAAGGAGAAGAAGAATCCATAGCGACCTAATAACGTAAATGACGAGAGGATAATGGTCCTATTTCTCGATATTTACTTGTGTATACAATCGACTGAAAACGTATTATACGATTGCTCGATTAATGCCACCACTGATGAAAATATCGGGTGTTCGTGCGGTGTAAAAGTTCTATCCCGTCTTGCAACTATTTTTCGAGTTTCCTAATCGTCCAACTAAATGCAGGCCGCGTATAACACTGCTCAATGGTCGTCCGGTTCTAGGAAAATAAAGTATCGCGAATGCAAAGTACTCGGTTGATAGAGGGATTAAAGAGCTCGTGTAATTAGTCGGATTCTAGAATTCAATGCCGAATTTTATTTACAACTGTAGATACCAAAATTTAGTTATAAACCCTCAAGATCTCGTCACCAACGGCAAGCACGGTTCGATACTTCCAATTGGGCTGGAATGGTGGTGCTGGGAGCGGTGGTGGTAGTGGTGATGGTGAGATTTGGTAAATAGGTAGGCGTTGCGGGCTGCTGTCTATCACTCCTCTCATAACATACCTCTTGCAATCGAAAACGTGAAAGCTAGGATTACCTAAATAGGAAGGCGAGGTTGAAGAAAAAGCCGTCGTATAGGTCGGGTGTAAAAGCTAAAGCTAAAGCTAAAAAAGGTGTACCGCTCTCCTATTGAACATTCAAAGGCCAATTGTCTATCGGTGGTGTGGATGGTGGCGGTGGATTGTCCTTGTTCTGACCGTTTGAATTCAATCGTCGGTACAGATTGTAGTATGTAGGTACAGATGTTGGAATAATCCCAAAATCCAGCCAGTCACAGAAGATCGGGTCGGATGGTGGCAAGTACTAAGTAACAAACCACGAAAAACCGCGAAAATCGAAAAACCGCAATTGAACACTTCGTTATGCCGAAACAGCGTCTATTCCCCTAAAAGACGTGTTGTTGATCTTGTCCGAGAAAGCGGCACGTAGGTGTAGGTGGGAGAGGGACGTCGACTTTTTGAGGCCGGCTACAAGAAGGGAGGAGGTGAGAAGGTAAAGCACCAAGAGAGGTCGATCGGGGTTTTGATGCTTTTTGTTCTGTACTAAAAAGCTAAAAAGCTAAAAGCTCTCTAGCTGATGGTCTTAGGGAAATCAAGCTGTGTGGAGTTTCAGTTACAAGACTGGTTGCGAGGTAACACAGCCTGTGCTAGCATTAACATCCAATCCAAGGGCAGGAAAGACCTATCCAGTTCCCACTAACCGTTCGTCGTCAGGGCAATTCAGTGGGTGCTTGCCGTTGCCTAGGATGCCGTGAAGCTGAAAATGGAAGCTACCATGTCGCTAGTACGGTTCCTCACTGTTTTAGCCGCCAAGGTACCAGGGCCCTTGAAAGGACTGGCAGAATTGGTCCAATTTATGGGTCTGCGGGTCTGCGGGGCGGCCAATATTGCGCTAAGAGCTACCCGGGTACTTCTTTGACTTTTTTTTAGTGAGAAAAGTGCACGTTAGTTACATCATAACCTTCAATATTTAGCGGTGAAAGCCCGGATTTCGTTACTCGGGTGCAGCAACTCACGTTTGGACTTTGTTAAATTTGTTCTAGCAACCCTACACCTTGACACCTTGACACCTATGCAGCTGCCATATTACCTATTTCATCGGAACCCATACGCTGATCACGGAGAAAATGCTCACAAACAGTTCACAACGCATTCATGAACAGGTCACGGGCGAATTGTTGTTATCCAACACGAGATGAAATCCACATACAATTACAAGATCACCGTCTGCGATCCATTACATGCTCACTACCTGCTCATACCTGCGTAGTATGCGGCCAGAGTTGCGAAAAATAGGTAGTTCACCTCTTAACTAGCTAACACTGGACTAGGTGACCTATCTAGGTATGTTCTAATAATCAGGATCCGACAGCAATGAGGCCGAATCCAGGTTACTAAGTAAGACAGTCCTTCCGTATGGGACCTGTCGTCAGAGACATGTTCATCCAAGCGAATAAAGAACCTGGAATTAAGTAATCATATTCCATGGCCTGGTCTGAGGGCTAAGGACCGAATATTCGAATAATTCCGTCAGCTAAACGAGATTTTATACCGTCATAACCATTCTTCTCGTAGAATGCCTCATTAGCTGTCATAATTCTCCAACCTACACTTCCCAATCACCGTGCCGTACCTACATCATCTTAATCCGCGGCATAAGAATCAGACTAGCATCTGTCAACTCTATCGCCAAGTGCTGTATTCGTAGCTGTTGTTCATGCATTTCACGGCTTGAATCCTGCCTTACAGCCGATTCCACGATCATCTCGCATACCCAGGTATACATGGATCGCATATATCGTACATATCGCATAGCACAAGCTCTACACAAGCTCTAAAACGCCGAGGAACGTGTTTGTCGTCCGTTTTAGGAAATACCCCAGCTAGAACAGGCGAATCCGTCGTCCAGGATCCACTAACTCGTTGTCAGTGTTTGGCTGTCAGCCCCGGTACGATAGCAAGGTTCTAGAGGTTGAGACGAGCTACTCGAACGGAAGTTTCGAAAGTCTCGTAAGCATGGCATGGTAGTCAGCCTTTCACGGAATACCGGACTATGCGTTGGTTTTCTTCTCGTTGCTTCGGCATTCGAACCGCATTGTCGAGTCCAAACTCCCGTCGTCCCGGTCCGTCAGCGCCAACTGAGCTTCGGTCGTTGCAATGGAAACGATATTTGCCCGGAACAAGTCACCTAGCAAAGAGAACGGACTGTCTCAACCCAAGATTAGATAATTATTACTTGCTCCATACCCACGTGTATTCGTGTCTTATTATTCCTCGAGGTTTCAGTCATTTTACGAAATTGCTGGATAGTTGCCGGGGCTAGTCGAGGCTCTCTCGACAACACAGCAGAATAACTTGTTTTGCCTCGTCTTAACCCTGCTCCTACGGTAACTAGGTAGGTATTGCACATAACCGCGTTACCTATGAGGCTGATTCTTCAGAAATTCTGCGACAACTTGGCCGGCAGTTGGACCCGAGTCACCTAGGTACTTGAATCGCGATTAATCCACCATAAACCTGCATAATTTACTTCCCCAGATCCCATAGGTCGTTTCGAGAATCATCCCGCAAAAGAATAAGTCGGTGCATGTTTCGACGGATATTGGCCTTGAATATATTATTTCGCTTGTTGCTTCTATGGGACGTGCATGCGTCGAGGTTGTGAACGATTACCTGGGTTACCCGCTGGTTGCTACAGTGTGTCGTAGGATTCTCTGGTGACTTTTTTCTTTTGTTACCCATCCAATGGATCGAGTCCACCCTCAAATTCCGTCGTTGCTGTGGTGCTGCAATAATAAGCACCACCCTAGTACGTTATGAGCATGGATGGCCATCTTCTTCTGTTACCAAAACTGCACGAAACCTCACACGTTGGGACCAGTTGGAATCATTTGAAAGAGATTATTTCAGGAACTTATTCCCGACTCTCGCCGATAGGTGCGCTCACCTATGTATGAACAGGCTGTCGGAATTTTTTGCATGTCGACCCTTGACTTCTTTTTTTACAACAGCCCTAATAGAGGGAGTAACGATATCGGGCGGCTATCCTGGGTTAGTTATAGCAGACCCTTTTTCGGCACTGAAATGACACTCATTATCAATACCGAAATCATTGACTGGCGTGTCCTGTGGTGATTGGGCTTCATAAGCGCATGCCCCATCAGTCATTTTATTTTACAGAGGAAATAAAAGAACTCCACGCCTCACCGACGCTTTGCAGTCCTGTGCTTAGTCGTACTGTAGGCCCAGATAATTTAGAATGAACTAAGCTCTAGACCTTCATCTAGAGCTGGGCTGACCTGGGCTGACCTGATTGACCCGACAACCCTTTGATGACCTTGAACCTTTTGGAGCTTGAGCCTCATTCGGGGAAATTTGTTTCGTATCTATCTTATGTAACTCACAAATTTCTAAAAATTGATTTTTCTATCTGATATTCAAATAGCCAAGCAGTAAAGTTAGATCTAAATATCGGATCGACCTCACAAAGCTTCATTCGTCGCACGAAGATAAATGAATTGAAGCGCTAACTAAAGGCGTTCAAGTCAGGGATAATTCAGAATTGATTTTCCGCCAAACTGACAACTCCCTTCGACGGCGTGTTAGACAACCTTGGAACAACAATAGGTAAAATTCGATAGTATGTGGACCGTCTTCGATCGCAGATGAACAGCTCCGATATTTTAGCCCTGGCAGACGTCATCTTCACGTTGCTATGGATAAATGTGGGATCTCCGCGTTCTCCTTGCTTACACGCGACAAACTATCGTCATAGTCTGCAAATGGTTTCGCACCACCGAAACCTGCGAAGCCCCTCGAGGGAATCAAGGAAACCCGGCCGGAGACATATGCATGCTACAGTACTATACATAGTATAGTAGGCCATGCTGGGCCAGGTAAGGGAACACTACGAGAACAGCCCTTTCAGCCCTTTTTCGCTGCAGGACATTTTTAGGAGTTTCAAAGATCTCGATAGCTGTTGATTGTTTACATTTTGGACGTGGTCGGGCTGCTATCGTGCTGACCGCCTCGGATGACCTGCATGATAGGGCGAGTCACAAGCCGCCTGGATAAAAGCCATCAAGCCCCCATTGGCCAATCAGATTGCTAGGCTGACCTTTCCCAACCTCGCGCTTATCATCGCCGAATTCATGGCGCCAATCTGTGAGACCTTCAGCTGTCCCAAAAGAAATCTGACTTCCGGACAGAGTAATCCCTGGCTGCCCTGGATAAAAAGTCCGTCAGTCGCCAGTGTAGATACGCCGGATACAGTACTCGTTCCAAGCCACTAGCGAGTCCCGAACGTAGGAAAGTAAGCGGCTATTATTTGGAAAGGACCAACGCGTAACGCCATTATCCATTCGTTTGACACATCCGACGGTACAATACGACTGTGACCAAATGATTGAGTGTGATTCCGATCGCATGGGCTTGTTTGATGTCTAGCAAGGGGGTCCGTAAGCGGCCGCCGAGATGCGGAGTTGCGAAGGAGGGCTGGAGGGCAAAAGTGGGAAGTGGGAAGTGGGAGAGGAAGTGAGGGGAAATTGTTTAAAAGGTACAAAAGTAAACAACTAATCCCGCGCCTGAGCGCGTGTCACTGTAAACATTCGTCCCCGTCCGTCACGATATCACGAGAGACGGCTAAACTCGAAACAGCTTAACGCCGTGGGAGAGGTAGGGGAGAGGTGGGAGAGCAGGGGAGCTTAGAGAAGCTCGGATCCCCAGCGTTGCATTTTCGAAATCCTACTTAACTGTAGCCCCCGACCAGCCAGATGGGATCGTCCATCGTCTTCTCCCTAACCAGCGATAGCTAGATCAAGGGTCGCCGATTGGCCCGTCTTAACGGACCTTCAAATTCACACAGCCGTCCCAACTCACCTGATCGTGCTGCTACACTGCTAGACTGCTTACTACCACCGACGTTCTGAAACGAACCAGTCCATGCGAATTGGATCTTAGATCGTCGGAAAATCCTGATCGAGGAATCATCCAAAACGAAAAAACCACGCACGCACGCTCAATTCCGTTTGAGCCGCAAGCAACCATCTGTATGTCTCATAATGCAATATCCCCTTCTTTCCGAACCCGGCAGCGAGGCCCGTATGTCTGCGGCACCGGTCGGCTTGGTTGATACACCCAACGCCGGTCTCATCCAGAATACCGTCGCCAAAGGACCATCGCGATTGACCGAAGAGGGAAAAGATGTTAGTTGATGAGCTAGGTCGTTACTCGCAGATGCACCTGCGATCAAACAACCAGGAAGGTTAGCTTGATGCAATGCTCTCAGCTGATTCGAATTCCCTAGAACCTCAACACCAATAAAATTCATGATCGACCATGTGGGATAGGATGCGGTCCACTTTAAGAGAGGAGACTAGTCGTGCTAGTGTTCATCGTGAGGCACAGATGCATGTTGGCGGGGTTCAGCCCTGATATGGCGCGATTACGATCTCTATAGCCACGCCCATCCAAGGCTGCTCGAAGGCTTAGAGTTGTTAGTAAGAAAATCTGAGTTTAATCTCTCAGGCTGCCTCATAGAAGTCTTATTACGTTCCAACCCCCCTAGCGCCTATTCTATCTTCGAGAAGTATGATATGATTTATCATAAAATTCAATGTCAAACTAAGTATGTAGACAAATGACTTTCAGTTTAAAAATGTGTCTGATTGAGACTTTGTATGTGAAGTACATTGATTCTCAGTGTTGCTCATATGGTTCCAGTTATTTCAATTGCCATTGGCCAATCAGGTTAGTCGTCATTAAAATGAAAGTGGAACTCAAGTCAACAACGACACAGATGAAGTCTAGACAGCAACCAATTCTAGTGCTCTACTTCTTGGAAAAAAACTCAGCTCCTCATGGTATATATAATTCTGTGTTATCATCTACTTTAGACAAGACATAGTCGCTCTCCTTACGCAGGCCTGGCCACTTCAGCAATAAACTGAATTTTTGAAATCGTACTATAAACAGATCGATTTTATCCAGGCCATTGTCAACTTCGTCAAGACTTGGTAGATGACTTGCTGCGATATGAACATAACATGTTAAGTCCGTTGTGCTATTCTTTTGATAAATTATCGTTGAATGATATCATGGTCCTATGCCATCATATGGTCACAAAGCAAATGCCCAGTGTCCTATTCACCTAAGTCCAAACAAACGGACTAGCTGACATAGCAAGTATCCTTATGCTTCAATGACCTATGTCATTACTGGTATATTTATTGAAATAGTGAATGTCTTGAACATACAACCCCTTGAACCCACATAGTATGTTTAATCATAGCATTTAATGATATCACCGAAGACATAAAGTGAGGAGTCCAAACCAGATGTCCCTCTATCAACAGTCCTTGTACATCTAACTTCAGACTTACGTACATTTTATATTGAACCGTTCATAGGTGATTATGGAGAAGGCTAAGGCGAAAGAAATTCACTACCCCCATAGCTTTTAACAAGACAAAGCCATTCCTTTCTAAGTGAACACGTTCTTAACATCGATTACGTTCTATTGGCCTCAATGAATCTCCGTTATATTATTTTAAACTTCGTTTATGACGTCTTCCACTTGTTAACTTCTCTTGTTAACTCCCCGCCCACTTGATATGGGAAGTGACTTATACTACTTAACTATGTATAGACGCTAATATGTTAGAGTTACGTTTATATTCGACGGAAAACTTGCGATATGACAGGTGCGACACGGTTTACAGAAAGGGATCTAGGGGAATATATACTTAGGTCGTATATTACAAAACATGAGATGTACGAGTATAGTTACATGCTTCGAAGACAACCCTCACCAGATACGAAACCATATATTCTCATTTACCTACCTAAGGCATAATAGACCTTTGTACGTCATCTGTACGACCTTAAGTAAGTGCCGTTAACCTTATTTGGTTTGCTACCCTATGTATATTCCGATATCTTCATGTATGGGAACCGCTATGCCGAACAGTATCAGATACATAATCTGTCGACGTTGGATAATCACTCAAACAAGCGCCGTATAACAAGAGCAAAGTTTCGCCGTTATAAGCTTTCCGGATGATTCCGTGGTTTTCCTTTTGGGTCAGGTACCCATCTTATAAATACCTAGGAAACCCTCCCAACATCACCCATCCATCTTCCATCTTCCATCTTTCACCTTCATTTCTCGACTTGCTACAACATTACATTCGCTGCCTTCATACTCTACCCTCAATCATAGCCTTGGCTTCTTCTATAAGGTTCTTGTTGGTATCCTTCACTCTACTCTGTTCGTAACCGTCACCTTCAGTGATAACATCGCTGCTTCAAGACACTCTTTACCTGGGGATTGCCTGGTGAGTAGTAATTTCCTCATTGGCTCGTTCATACATGTTCATATGTCGACCGGTACAAGAACTTGTCCCTGTCTTCTTGGAGGAACATTCTAGCCCATTTTATCATGTGGCTCTCTTTCTTATTGGAGACCCTCGTGACTCCATTGCACACCTCCTTCTGGTATTTCAACCGTGCTTTTATGCACACTTGGTTACACTCCAAAGAAATAGATTCATGGATGACCTTCATCTTGGTTGTTGTATCTCGTTGATCAAGTGTTCTCGCCTGTACCCTTTACTACTTTTCCCATCTCATTGATCTTGGCAAATTTATCTCACACCCCAATTATTTTCTTGACCATCATCCTTCCATACCATTTCTCATGTAAAGTTTTGTTATATATATGTCTGGAGGAGTTGAGTGTCCCTTAAACTTCGTCATTGACGAGTGATACTAATTAGGACATTGCAATAGCTACTATGGTGGTACTGGCAAACTCAGTTGGGCGTCCTGAGTTCCCCTTTCCTTCACATCTGCCTCCGTTCCCGCCTGTCTCGATGTCGTAGGGGAATGTCCCAAACTGCCTATTTGCATTCGTTACTTACACTCTAACGATGCACTTTCCATCATATATATATCCCTTCATATTTTCTTCCTATGACGGTGGTAGCTTGTGGACATAGTACCAAGCGTGTGAAGTGTAAGCTCCCTCGATCGCAAACACCCTCACTATTGGGCTCGGGTCAACATTCAGCAACACGTGAGAGTACATCCACGTTTGACAAACAACACCACATGGAATAGAGCTTGTTCAACGTTTTCTGAAGGAAAATCCACAGCGACCTCTTTGTTCCATATTGTCCAGGAGTGACTTGGCCCTCAACCGACACAATTATGTTTAGGAGATGTCTTCTGTAAGTTCTTCAAGGGTCAACTTATTTTTTTTTCTTAAGCTAACACTATTCTTATTAGATTCGAGACTCAAGCGTATCATAAAACGACATCCGACTCTACACACTGTCTCATGGCCTTGCAGCACATTATTTCCCTCATAGTAATTTGCTGCTAAACACGGCTATACTAAGAACTGTGTCGACGTTGCACGCGCCACGGGGAGTTGAGAGCTAATCACGACTTTGATCGACCTTGACGTGACGGATGGATTGTTTGCGAGAACTCTGGGTTCGGTTTGAATCACTATACTATGGCCTGCGTTGATTCCTAATCGATCTCTCCAAACGGAGCACCCCATCTCATCTTTGCGACGGCGATGACTTTGAGGAAAGCTAAGACGCACATGGATCCCATTTTTCGAGATACATCTTCTATTCGAATGTAATTATCATCTCTGGCTCTCCTTCACTGAAGACAACTGATTGAGGGCACCTGCAAGATCGAGTCGGCGTACTTCATAGACCTGTGCAGGAGATACTTTCTCATCTAAGCGCGACGAACCTTCTCCTATCGCTAGTCTACCGCCTACTGAACAAGCTGTCGGGGGAACGGGACTAGGGACGCCCCAAGATACATCGCTAGCTGATGTAGCTTCCCCTCGTGCACTCCAGCCGCGCCATCGTGGCTGTCGACTGAATTGCCGCACGTCTCCGTGGGCACCAGTGGCACAGATTCATTGCTGACATCACTCTTGCTGCAACTTCAACAGGGCACGCAGCACTACTCTACACCCCAGCCCTATCGGGGCGTTGGAAGAACCATCTCACGTTGAACCCGGCTGAAACCTCGGTGATACATAGTTTTGACGTCAGATTCACCTTATCAGGGCCGGTTTGGGGAGAGTATACGATGACGGATCACCGACCAGAATCGGACCATTCACGCTTCCTGACCAACTCATCATGACTCGCCCATGCAGCGTAACTCTCCAACCGGCTGTCCACTCATATATCACTCAACGTTTCGCCGATTACAGAACGTGGTTTTGCAGTAACTTCTGGATGCAGAGTGTGCCGCCGACGTCGCGGACGACCAGAATAATAGTTGGGGTGCCGGGCCGATGATCTGATTTCGTGGTCACCTATCGCATCTGGGCACCATCATTCCCGGCACACTTGGCGACCCGCATCTTCTAAGCCACTCTCAACTCACCACTTATTGGGCTTTGTCAACTGGCCTCATTGTTCTTGATGCTAAAAGGGTAATAACTGATACCACTGCACTTACTGTTCCTCAACAGTGACCCCTCATCGTCTCTGCTCTTACCCTTTCCCTGACATGATGAGCTGCCATAGATGCTACTAAGGTTCTTCCTCAATTTCTCTGGATTCCCTCATCTCCTGTCGCAGGACTCTCCTTCCTCGTCCTGATGAGGAAGGAAGGACGGACCTACTGGCTGTAGATGAGAGGGGTAAAAAGGCATTCTAGCATTAAGATAGCTTAAAAGAAGAACAACTCGTTTTGCTCTGCGACACTTCGTTGTCACGATTGTTTGTTGTTGTTGTTTTTATCCATCATTACGTTCGTCCTATACCAGGACGCCACATGGTAGCACCTCTCCGTTCAACTGGTACGATTCGGAATATCTGCTAACTAATCCCACCGGCCCACCCATGGGAAATGGTAAGAAAAGCGCCCGATTGCGCGACGCGAGAGGACGATTCATTAAAGCGAACCCTTCAAGACGCTCATCTCCCGTCACAAGCGGGGTTCCCGGCGACGACGCTGAGGCCATTGAGCAAGATATGGCGCGACCAAGATTACACCACGTAATGACCGAACAGCAACATGGTGGCGATCGAGTGGAAAGAGCTCCTATTCATCCCATGTCGGATGGGAAGACGTGTGGACACGGGCCCATGATATGGTGGATCTTTGCTTTGTACATCGGCGATGGGAGCATCATCGATGCGTCAATATAGATGTTGCCGTGGAGGATCGCATCTAAGGGACTGTGCACAGTTCTCAGGGTTATTTGGCCATTGTTAGAGGTCTAGGCTATTGGGGTGATAACTACCAGAAGTCTGGTGTGCTGAAGGTCTGGTAGGATTAGGGTTTGGCCCGATAGAGGTTTGATCCGTTGGGAGACCTGTTGGTGGTTGGTCCTAAGAGAAGTTACCATCCACTTACCGATGCAACATCGAAGAATAACAGTAGTTATTTGTTCATGCTACACCTCGAGGTAGGTATATTCCATGGAACATCGCAGTCTCATTATCAACCAACTAACGATCTTTTAGATCCGACTCAAAATCTATGAGTACGTTGTAGCCATTGAGGCAAGAGACATGACCTATGTATGTCGCGCTCTCTATCAGATGGGTCCAGAGCTCCTTGCGCAACGAAGTCGATATTACCTCCTTATTAGGTCTGCATCATGGCGGTGCTGCTTGATCACCATGTTTCCACCCTGATGAGTTTAGACATAGGCAAACAAGGGTTACGAACACTTCAAATGTTTTTTTGCTCATATATATGTATGGGGTCGGATGGTGGTAACTGCGCGTCCACGCACGACGCGAGTTGGAGTAGTGGGGCAACACTAAAATTGACCGGGGTACGTAGACCGCTTACTATATTTGGAAAGACTGGGATTAAAGTGGTGGCAGAATTTAATTTTCTAGAACTTTTATGGTACAACATTATCGTCAATTCATGTCGTGACAGAAAGAATTAGGTGATAATTCAACGGGTATTCTCGCGATTCCTATGATTTCTGCCTCGGTTTAGAGTATCCATTCTTGCACAATGAGTAAACGAAAGCGCGGTTCTAACAAGGCTGGCGCAAATGGCAGCCAGCCTGCGCAAAAGCGAACGAAGATTGATCAATCTGCGCAGAATGTTGTTGAGGCAGCAACCCTTGATCTTGAAAAGTCACCCTTCACCGAGACTTTGAATGGAGATGCTCGAAGACGAGAAGCGAAGGTATACGAATTACTCGGCAGCGCTGATAGCGACGAGCGAATTGCTGCTGCCGACGCGCTCGTCACCGGACTTTTGCTCTCATCGGAAGCAGCTCTCCAGAGGCATCTTGACAATCGTCTGTTTCGCGGTCTAGCGAGCTCGCGGAATGCTTCTCGAGTAGGCTTCAGCCTTGTGATAGCTGAGATACTGAATCAGCTATTCGGATCCAAGGCTTTGGCCAAGTCGAAATACCCTGGCTTAACATTCGATAAGGTCTTGAACATTTTAGTGGAGAAGACCACGCCTAGCGGTCATGTTCCCGGACAGGAAGAGAGGGATTGCTTCTTTGGTCGCTTATTCGGTTTGCAGTGCTTCGTCGAATCTAAGATTCTCTTTGACGAGGCGTCAAGATGGCCAAAAGTCTTAGAACTACTATTAGGGATGGCCGACAAGAAGGTTTGGATACGGTCGCACTCTGCGTGGGTTGTTGTTGAGTCGCTGCCTCAAATGGGGCAGGACAGAGCAGAAGCAACCCTTCAGCAGCTCTCTGATATTGGCCTTGGCAAGACTGCAGAGGGTATCGGAATCTGGATGAAGGCGCGAAGTTGCTACCCCGACTTGAAGACGCCCGCAAAACCTTGGCATGATCCTATGAGCCCTAGCGTTCTGCCGGAAGTTGCTCGAGTCCTCAAGGATAATGTGGCGCAAGACAACGGGGAGGACACAGCTGTCACCAAAGCCAAGCAAGGTGGCTGGACTGCTCAATTGCACTTTGTCTGGGATCTTATACTTGCGACATTCATCGGACAGCATACTAATCCGAAGGAGAGCAAAGACCAACTGAGGCTTTTTTGGACGACTGTTGTTGATGGTGAGTTTATCTGTTATGGAATTGTTGAATATCCTAATAAGTTATCTAGATGGGCTCTTCTCCAAAAATGCTTCCGATGCGCAGAAATTCCGCGGTTTCGTCATATTCCAGAAATTCCTCCAGGGATTTGCGTCAGACAAGCCAAATTTGGCTAGGGAATTATTTACCCGAAATCTGATGAAGTGCCTGATGAATCAAGCTGCCAAGGAAGACCGATATCTTCATCGAGCTGCGCTAAAAAGCCTTCAATCGATGGAAAAGGCCGTGCAAGCCTCTCCTGAGCTCTTATTACCAGTTCTCAAGGAGGTTCTTGGGAAGCACGGAGCTTATGACTTCGACCAGCGAACCAGTACCAAGACGGTCGAGAGCCTGCTTCAATGGGTCACCCCAGACGATGCGAAGAACGTTCTCAAGCTTCTTCGAGATCCTGTTGTTATCGCGAAAGAGTAAGGACCTCCACTTTTTATGGTATAATTGATTCACTAATCAATTACTAGCAATGAATCCGCCGAAATCGAGAAACTCAGGCAAGTCTACGCTGGCTATGTGTCAAAATTAGCAACGCAGGCAAAACCGGTCTCCGAGGCTTCTAATAACGGCGATGACACTATCAACATTGCGGAGCTCGGTGTCAAGGAATTAGCGGCATGCGCCTATTCGGTACAATCGCAATTTAAACCTGAGCTTTCAGATAAGTCAAGAGAGGCCTTCCGCAGGTTACTCGCATCTACGATTGGAAAGGTCATGAAGCGACGAGCCGACGCTGAGTACTTATGCAATGCAGTAATCTCAGTTGAGCCCACAGCTGTGAACATGAGCGGAGAAATCAAAGCTGAGCAAGAGAACGCATTAAAGGCCATGCGTAAATTGCTGAAAGCCGGCAAAAAGTCGGATAATAAGAAATCAGGGGCATCTGTTGGTCTCGCTCTATTGTATGCCATCACTATCCTACAACTATACGATGGGGCGCCGGATGCAATTGACATTCTACAAGATCTGGAGCGATGTTCCGAGAAGATGAAGAGCAAGGAAGGTGGGAGCTCAGAGCTCCTGGTGGAGATACTGCTATCGTTGGTTTCGCGGCAGTCACCTATGATGCGGCAGATTAGCGAGCAAGTCTTCGAGGCATTCACCTCGCAATTGTCACCCGAAGCCCTGGAGCTTCTAACGGAGCCACTGGTCGCGGAAGAAAACGAAAAGGGGTACCAAGCGCTATTCGAGAATCTGGAGGATGAGGATATGGAGATGGAAGACGCCGAGGACTCGAGTTCCGAAGATGAAGTCGAGGACGTTGAAGAAGACGAAATTTCGGAAATTGGCTCTGATGTCGAATTCGTCACTCTTAACGGCGCAGAGACCGAGGCAGGTGACGAAGACGAGGACGAAGACGAAGATAGCAGCCCCGAGGACGAGGATAACGAGCAAGCCGAGGCCAACGCCAAAGAACTCGCGGACCTCGACGACGCGCTCGCCAGAGTCCTAAGAAGCCACCGTCTAGACAAGGACAAAGAGGCCGAGTCCTCAGACAACGACTCGGACATGACGGACTCGGAAATGATAGCCCTAGACGAGAAGCTCGTCGAAGTCTTCAAACAGCGGGCCAAGAAAACGGGCAAGAAGAAGGAGAAGAAAGACGCCAAGGAATCGGTCGTCATGTTCAAGCACCGCGTCCTCGACCTCCTCGCCCTGTACCTCAAGCACGAGGCCGCGAACCCGCTGGCCTTCTCCCTCCTCCTGCCCCTCCTCGACCTCGTGCGCACCACCACCGCCAAGCCCCTCGCCAACAAGGCCGGCGCCGCGATCGAAAACTTCGCCAAGGCGTTCCGGAAGGCGCGCACCACCGCCGCCGTCGCGAGCAGCAGCGAGGCTGGTAGTAGTAGTAATAGTAGATTCGTCGCGGAACCGCTGTTCACGCTGCTGAGGCAGATCCACGAACAGGCGGCTAGGGACGCGTCACACGCGCACAGCCGGGCGGCGTCGGCGGCGAGTCTGCTGGTCGCGTCGAGCTTGGTTGTTGATAAGGCGAATGTGGAGGGGGTTAACGAGGTTTATGCAAGGACGTTTGCGAGGTGTCAGAGGGGCGAGATGAAGGTCCAGGGCTTCTTCTTTACGGATTGGGTTAATTGGGGGATGGGGCATGCGGCGAATGCGGCGAATTTGAGTGCGGGTGCTGGTGGGGGTGTTGGTGTCGGTACTGGGGGACAGGTATAGGGAGTGTCGTGAAGGCGTCGTGAAGGCGTGCGATTCGAGGATCGAAGAGCCTTGGCTAGATCGGTGATACGAGGTATCCACAACATGTGCATGTGCGGGCAGTTTCTGCTGAAGCATAATTGGAGAATTGTGGTCTTGCCTGTTACCTATCACAGTGAGCTATGCTTCGTGCTAAATCTTTCATTACGCGCGTAAGCGCCCAGCTTCCACTATATTTTTCATGTACGGGAATTGTGTTTTGAAAACTCCTTCCTAGCTTCTTAGATCTGCCAGTTACAGGAGTTGTTCTCGATAATCTAGGCGGCGGGGCACGACATGACCTTCATTCTAACTACCAAACTACACCTAATCTCGTCGTAGTCGATTTCTATTGCGCATGAATTAGCACTGGCATATTTCCTCCTTTATCTGTAGCACTTTTCCTCTCGGTTAAATGCGGCTCTTGTGTCGTCAACGTGCACCTCAGTCATTACCTATTGAGACGAGAGGTGCGTCCTAGGTTCGGGACGCCATAATTTGGACAAGGCTCCGCAGGATCTTATCAGTAGGCTTGAACATAAAAATTGATGATAGCAAATTATTGCCTGGCTCTTTTCGATCGTGTGGTGTCTGCCTAGACACATCAGAAGGTAGCATGAAGGCAATTCGTTGCGAAGCACTTCTGTTAGTTTTGCTTCAGAGGTGCGGTCATTATTGCGGTTATTGAGAAAATAATTTTTTTTTCACCGCCTAGTGCTGTCTCGGCGCACAATGATCCCCGGCCTGGAAACAGGCTGTGGCTTGCTAACCGCCAGCTGTATCTCATTGCAGGGCTACTAATCCTTCTTCCCTGGTCTGAAGGTGCCCACGTGGTCGCTCGTCTGATAGTGTACATAGGTACCTATCACAGCTGAGCCCCTGCTACCTGGTAGCTGGCGTGGCTAATCCAGCTGGATTATGCGGGAAGTACCTGTTGTATAGAAAATAAGGGCAAATTTCCCATGCGTCGGCGGTTCTGTGCTCACCTAGGTACCTAGATGGATCCCTGAATCATCGGAATTCGTATCTCGAGATGATTGTTAGGCATTTTCATAGCAGATGCCCTACCTAAGGGATATTTATCACGAGCAATGCTTCTAATGTCGCGCCTTAGTCGAGCAAACTCTAGGCAGGAATCCTGCAAGCTTCTCACGGCTCCACTACTCGTTTGAGCCTTGCGGCGAGGTTGACGGGCTGTCTTTCCACTCATCAGATTAAACGCCAACGCCCTGCTCAGACTATCAACTATTTCGCCCCAGTCCGTGTAACAAAATTTGATAAAAATAACTCTTCATATCAGGATGGTGTCCGATGCTTCCCTGATTAGGTTATTTAAAGCCTCATTTAGTGAGTCATTAAATATTAAAAAGCACCCCGTCGGGGTATTATAATAACCCGATTTTAGGACTTTTTTAACCTTTATTTTATGTTTAATTAGTAAATTGTTAATTATATATGCCTTTAAAAAAAAAGAATTATAAAATAATATAATTTTTATATTTATTTTATAAATTTTTTATATATTATTATAATTTTTATAATTAATTTTATTAATTTTTTTATTTTATTTTTTAATTAATAAAAAAAGTTTAATTTTATTTAATAATTAAAGTTTATTTTTAATAATAAATATAATTTTTTTAAATTTATTATACGCGATAATTATATATATATAATAATAAAATTTAAATTTAAATTAAAGGAACGTTTATTTATTAAATTTAAATATATTTACGGTAAAATTATATTTTATAATTTAAAGTTAATTATAATAAAAATTAATGTTAAATTAAAATTAAAATAATTAAAAAACTTTCCGGTTTTTTTTAAAATAATTATTTTTATTAAAAATATTAAAAATATATTTATAAATAATTTTATTAATTAAAAGTTTTTAATTATTAATAAAAATAAAAAAATAATTTTTAATAATTTTATTATAATTAATATATTAAACTTTAAACGGAATGTTAATATTTCGGGGTTAAAAATAAATTATTCGATTACGTATTAAATATTATTAATTATTTTAAAGTTTTAATAAATATTTTTAATAATAATAACCGGCATTTTTTTAATAAATATTATATACGTTAATATTTTTATTTTTAAATTATTTATATTAAAAAATATAATTTTTAACGTTTTTATTTTATTTTAATTTTATGGGATATATTTAAAAAAAAAAATCCATGTATTTTATTTTTTTTTTTATTAAATATAAATATAATTTATAAATTAATTATATAATATATTTAATTTAACGGATAAATAACTTTTAATTTTTTATTTAATTTTATATCGTGCGGGCGTATTAAACGAAAATTTAAAATATTAATATTATTTATAATTTATTTTTTATTTTTAAACTTTTAAAAAAATAAAATAAAAATTAAATTAATAATTCGTATTTATTAATTTAAAATAATAATTAACCGAAAACGTAATTATAATTAATGGTTTAAAATATGTTTATTATTTTTTTATATAAATTTTTATTTTGTTTTTTTTTATATTATTTAATTAATGAGATATTTAAAAAATAATAAAAAATTATTTATTATTAAAATAAATTAATAAAAGTCATTAAATAATATTATTATAAATATACTTTTAAAATTAATGCCGGGTTATTTTCGAACGGTTTAAAATTATTTATTTATTTTATAAAAAAAATTTCCGGACATTATATTATATTTATTAATAATAAATATATTTATATTTTTTTAATTTTTTATTTTTTTTATAAAGATTTTTTTTTTTTCTTATTAAAAAAGTTTATTATTAAGTGAATTATAATGTTATTAATATAAGTGTTAACGGATTTTAACATTATTATTATTTTTATTTTTTTATATTAGTTTTTTATTTTTAACGTTTTTATTAAGTTTTATATAATTATATTTTTTTTTATATTTTTTTTATTTTTTAAATAATAAAATAATTAAAATAATATATTAAACGATTCCTCGCTGTTTTTTTATTATTAAAAATTATTAATTAAATTAAAATATCGGAATATAATATTAAAAAATATAACTTATTTTTTATTAAAGCTTTTATTTTTCGTTATTACCGCGTTAATATCCGTTTAAATTTATTTTAAATAATATTTTATCGTAATATATATAAATTATATATTTTTTTTTTATTAGTTTATTATCCGGGAAATTATTATTTATATTTAATAATTTTTAATTTTTTTTTTTTTTCGTGTTTTATATTTAGGGTGGCGTGTGTCGGTGAATTTAAATTTTTTATATTTTTTATTTTATTTATAATTTTACGTAACTTTATTATATTAAATAAATTTAATTCGTTTTTTTAATTTTTAATATTAATTATAATAATTTTATTAATTATTTTATTTTACGTTATTATATTTAATATAAATATATAATTATTAATTAATGTATTTTTATATTATTATAGTTTTAATTTAATAAATATTTTATTAATTATTATAATATTACCGGTTTAAAAACTTCGTGTTAATTATTCGATGTTAATTTTAAATAATGGCGTTCTTGCTTTTAAAAAATTATATAACGAAAGTTTTATATTTTTTATAAAAGTATTAAGTTTTTATATTTTTTTTTTTTTTTTTTTTTTTTTATTTTTTTTTTTTTAAGATTATTATTATTTTTATTTTTATTATTAAAATCGTTTTTTTTATATTTTTAATTATAGTTTATTTTTATAATTTATATTTTTTTATTACGTTAAATATTTTTACGGTTTTTTTTTAATAATATGAAATTATTATTATAAAATTTAATTTTATTTAAATTATTTATTAATAGTTTTTTTTAAATGTTTATAATAAAATTTAAATTTTTAAATAAAAATTTTTCTTAAGGAATAAATAAACTTAATTTAATAATTATTATTCGGTAATAAATTTTATTTTTATTAAATTTTAAAAGGTAAGTGTTAATTAATAAAAGTATGAACATTTTTTTTCATTTTATAATATATTAATAAAACCGGTTATTTTTTAAAACACCGTTAAACTCTTTATATTTTTTTATTTATTATTTTAATTTTAATATAATTTTCATAATAAATGCGTAATTATAAAAATATAAGTTTATAAAAATTAATTTTTAATTTATATACGTTTTATAAAAACTTGGTTTAATGTTAATTATTTTATATAAAATGTTTTTTTTTTAATTAAATTTTTATTATTATTTAAAGCTTTATTTATAAGGTTTTAAAGGTATTTTTATTATTTATAAATCGTAAAATATAAAATATTAAAATGGATTTAATATTATTTTAATTTAAAATAATAAAATATATTATATTTTAAAATATAATTATAAATTTCGAACGTTAAAAGTTTTTAATTATTAAATATATGGTTTAATATTTTAATTATAAAGTTACGGGTTTTTTTAATTTTATTATTTCGATTAATATATTCCGGGTATATGTTTAATATATAAAAACGCGTTATTACGAAAGTAAGTTTTTAATTTATTAAAAATCGGTTTTTTATAACGTAATCGGTGATATATTATAATAAAATAAATATTTTTATAACCGTGAAAATAAACGTTATATTATAATTATAATATAACGTTATTATTATTATTATATTTTATTTAACGTAATAAATTACGTGGTAAATAATGCGGAAAATATTTTTTTTATTAATATATATTTAGTTTATAAAATTTCACGGGTAATTAAAACGATATAATTAATTATTTTTACCCCGAACCTTTTCTTTAATATTTTTCAAGTATTTATAATAAATTAATATATATTTATAATTTTATATAATAATAATAATAAAATATGTTTTTTTTTATTATTTAATTTTTAATATATTTAAATTTTATTTTAATTAATTTAATGATTTTATACGGTTTTTTATTAAGTGTTTTTAGTTCGAGATTTTTTTATTAAAGTTTTCTTTGAAATATTCGTTTATAAATTAAAGGAAGTTTTATATTTTTTTTTTATTATTTTTTTTAATAAAATTAAGAAAATAATTTAAAAAATTTATATTGTTAAAAAATTAAAGAAATTTATAAAAATAAAACGTTTAACGGTTATTTATTTTTATTATTCCGAAGTATTAATTAATTAATTCGAAAATTTCGTTTTATATTAAATTTTTAATAATTTTATTAAAAAAAACTTTTAAATATATATGAAATTATTTAATTAATATTATCGGGTTTTAATTTATTTTTTTATATTACGTTTTATATTATTATAATACGTATTAATTTAATTATTTTTATAAATTTCGTAATTATTATATGTTATAAAATTTTTTATTTATTTTTATACGAATTAGTAATAATATATTATTTAAGTTTATTATAAATTATATAATTAATAAATTATATTTAAGTATTATGTTTTTTATTTTATTACGGGCTTAAATTTTTTTTTTATTTATTAAAAGTTATTATTTTTTAAAAATAATTATTTATTTTAATAATTTTTATATATTTAAGTTTAAGATTTT